AATCCAAAATGAATTATTGGAGGGGTCATAAATCTCAATTTCCGCGAAGATAGGCAACTGGTTAAGGCATATGTCATTTCATTTTTAGTTCAAATCATGGGTAAGTTTTCCGCTTCTTGAAAATGTTTATATAACTTTTTAGAACAAATAGGTAACAAAAATTAAAGAAGAAATGATCTTTGGTGATACAGCAGACTTACAAATACAAGGAATGCAGGAAAAACTTTCGACAAAATCTGGCCTCTAGAGGTCCTTGAGGACATTGACGAGTTCGTTAGCAACCTATTCATTATGAACTATAAGTTTACATGGGATCAAGAGAACCGTCTCCGAATGGACGAATACTAGCTTCATGTGTCTTTCGGATGCCTTCAATCAATTCCTCTGCTTCTGCGAGCTCCACTGAACGTGTGATTCTCATAAATGATTCTAACCACTGACATTGTATTGTCATTTGCGTCTCTAATAATTACTCATAATCTCACATTTTTAGCTAGTACACAAGTACGTGAGTTAAGGTCGAGTCTCAGCCAAATTTAAAAAACTAAAACAAATTTTTTATAACTACCCTTTTTTTCTTTCCAGGATGTGGCATAGATTTTGAAAATTTTCAAAAAACCATATAACAAAGCAAATTTACATATGGTAAAATAATGTATCTAAGATTATTTTTTTAAAAATATTTAAATTTTACGAGAATGATACTTACCATTAATTACTATTAATTAATAACTTATATATTTAATTAATAAAATGTTATTTTAAAAAGTTAGAATAGGAAAAGTTCACTTTCTTTTAGTACTAGGAGTGGGGATTCGAACTCACGACATTTTGGTGAGATAGATACCTTAACTAATTAAGCTAGGTATAAGTTGACATATGAAAAGTTCACTTAACTAAATTAAGTTAATAATTATTATATTTAATTATACTATATTTAATTTAAGAATATAAGAAATCTCAAAAGATTTATATTTTTTTTTGTATAAAAAAATTTATAATTTTAACATACATACATATTATTTTATTGCTTTAAAAGTTAATTCAATGGCTTCTAAAAAAAGGTTATTTCAATGGTATGAATTTAATATCAAATTTGTGAGAAGTGAAGTTATTTCATTAAAAAAAGTAATAAATATGTTAATTCTATATTCCATGTTTCTACCTCAATCAAAGAATAATGTTGATAATACATTATAAATATTATCACATGTATTTTAGTAATACTAAAAATTAGTCTAAAATCTTCCTAAAATTTTTAGTAAAGAAAATGTAACTGGTGAAAATTTAATTCGGAATTAATGAAAATTTAATTGTACTTTTAAGTTGATAAATGTATAAAATCTAAAGAGTGAATATCAAGAGTTGGAAATTTTACTTTTTATTCTTTTAAAATCCAAAGATTTCATTTTTCATCATGATTAATTATGGAATGAGTTGGAAATTTAAAAGTTTAACTCTTACCTTCTCTATAATTATAATAGAAAAAAAAAAGAAAGAAAAGAGTTCTTCTACCGCTCCCAACAATTTTACTATTTTAGCTTTAATTTTTTTCTACATTTAGTTCTCTCCCATTTCTTTTAGTTTTCAAGTCTCGTTAATCTCGAAAGTAATATTGTGTGACATGTTACGATACCAAAATAGTAATTTTTTAAGAGTACAGAGATCAAAATAGACGTTTTAAAAATAAAGAGATTAAAATGAACAAAAATTGAAAGTATAAGAACCAAGACAAACATCTTGAAAGTACAGGACCAAAATAAACCGAAACTTAGTATATAAAAACAAGGGTAAATTGCATATACCACCCTTGAAGTATAGTAAGTGTTACAATTACACTCTTAAAGTTTCAATCTCGAACTTCTRCGAAAGAAAAGATTAAACCCTCGAACTTTCAATAAAATTGGACCCTCTAAATTTTTTATTGTAGAAATTAAATCTTAAAATTTTAAAAAAATTGAATCTATTAACTTCACGATTCTTTCCGGCAGCCAAAATTCCTAATCATGTCTCTCGCTCTGCTCTTCCTTCTCTTCTTCTCCATATTTTCCTGCGCTCTTTCATTTAAAACTAAAGATAAACTTGTTTTCTTTCATGGGTTTCTTCCCAATTAGTCTGAAACGGGAAGAAAAGTCCGTTTTATTGAAAACCCACAGGAAAAATTTAGTCTTTTTTGGGTTGGGTTTCTTTAATTTGATTTTTTTTTTTTGCTCAAGTGAGTTGGCAGTGGCACCCTTTTTTTTTGCTAATATTTTGTGGGTTACCTTCTATGTATCAGGATTATTGAGGTGTGGGAAAAGTTACAGGSTTCGATGGACAAATTAATTAGTTTGAGAGCTTCCAACTCTAACTCCAACGGTGGGGATTTGATCTACACGGCATGGGAGAGCTTCCAATTTCCCACCAACACCATCAATAACTTCCAATTTCATTGATCCAATTTTTTAAAAGAAATTTAGGATTTAATTTTTATTTTGGGTGCAATTTTATCAAAGATGAAGGGTTTGATTTTTACTCTSGAAAGTTTAGAGTTTAATTTTTTCATTTTACAAAAATTTGAGGGTCTAATTTTTGCAATTGAAAGTTTAGGGGTGTAATTGCAACAACTATCCTACTTTAGGGGTGATTTATACAATTTACCCTAAAAACAAAAATAGCATTTTTAACCTTAAAATACTACGCRCATTTGCACGTGGCAACATATCAGGTTATATAGAGTGTGGCATGTATATATGACACGTGGCATCTGAAATAGGGGATCCAATCACCAATCTCTAATGACAGCACTACACGTGGCACTTAATCTCTCCAATAGAGACCTAAAAGACAGGGGGAAAGAGCAGGGCATTTCTGTAAATAAAAGCTCATCCAATGGCATTTTAATCTCCTTTCACGTCTTAGACCTCGCCTCCCATTTTCTCTGAACCATTGAAAATTTTCTTCTTCTTGTTCTTCTCTTCCCCTCTTTCGTCTTAAACCCCAAACTTCGCGGCCGCCATGTCCGTCCTCAGCCGCCTCCGACTGGTGGTGCGGCCACTCCGTCACGCTCCGATCGCGAGACGATCGTACGGATCTGCGGCGGCGCTGGAGGTGGATTACGATTATTACGATGAGGAATTGGAGACTGTGCGAGGAGATCGGAGCCAGGGCATGGCGATGGCGGACTCTCAGGGCTGGGTGCCCAGGAGAGGAGTGCAGTGGGTGGTGTTGGGAGACCCTGGGGCCAAGAAGCATGTCTACGCCGAGAGGCTCTCCAAGCTTCTCGATGTTCCTCACATTTCCATGGGCAGCCTTGTTCGCCAGGAGCTCAATCCTCGCTCTTCTATCTACCAGCAGGTTCTTGTTCTTCAGATTTCTCTCAACTTCGAAATTGACGTCTCTGAATTTCGAATTTAGTTGCTGAAATTCTAGGAAGTTTAGAAGGTTTCAATTACCTCAAAATGCGATTTTCTCTAGTTTTTACTATTAAGTTCTTCAAATTTAAAGGTTAAGTACGTTATGATATTATGTATGCTTGTTAGATATGGTCTGATTTGGCTAGGCATGAGAAACAAACAGATGGTAGATATTTGAATGAAATAGTGTGATGGATTTAATATGTTGCTTCGCATAGAGAGTATGTTGTACGTGCTGCAATTTAAAGTTTTAGAATGTATGTGAAATTTGTTAAAATTTAAAGATTAATCTACGAAGAAGATGGAGTAATTGATGTGTATTTGATGACAAACTAGGAATTTTGTGAAATCTTGTCTTTGAATCAATGGGAGAGGCGACTGTTCTCAAAGATAGATTTGTGAAAATTTTCCTTCTTGTGTTTGTATCAGATTGCTAGTTCAATAAATGAAGGGAAGCCAGTTTTGGAAGAAATCATTTTCAGGCTGTTGACAAAGAGGCTAGAAGAAGGTTATTCCAATGGTGAATCTGGCTTCATTCTTGAAGGAATTCCAAGAACAAGAAATCAAGCTGTATGTCTCTCTTCCTTCATTCTTGGGATGGATTTGGTTGAAATTACTGTTTTTAACCAAGTAGTTTGAAAAACTCTTAGAAAGTAATGAAAAGTATTTAAAGTGATTTGTGATGACACATTTAGGCTTTGTTTGATAACTTCTTTACTACGTTTTTCACCTCTTTATAACCTATCTAAATTCTTAGCCCAATTTTAAAAACAAAAACAAGTTTTTAGAAACTATATATATTTTTTTTTTCATTTCAAAATTTGGTTTAAGTTTTGAAAACGTTTTTAAAATACCGATAACAAGACAAAAGAATACATAGGTAGAAGTAGTGGTGGTAAGCTTAATTTTCAAAAACAAAAAACTAAAAACAAATGGGTTATTGAACGGGACCTTAATTAATCTTCTTCAAACCGTGCTTTAAAAATGTTCCAACTTGCAGGAGATTCTTGACCAAATTGCAGACATTGATTTGGTGATTAATTTCAAAACCAGTGAAGAGGCTTTGATCAGAAAGAGTATAGGATCTGGAAACTTCTCTGGGTTTCATGAATACAGCACCATAAGCAGCTGTGGGAGTAATTCAGATCTTCAGCCACAGGACAAAGAACCAAAATGCCTTTCTGCTACCACAGAATATTCCTGGAAAGAAATGACTTCTATGGAGCAGGTAACATTCTCAACTCTTTGGTACCCATTCAAATATTTGAAATCCAATAATAAAAGGCAGTCATTTCTAAAGCTGTGAGCCAAATTAAAGCATGATATATTTTGCATGAAATCTTGCTTTTATAAGGTGCACAATAGAAAAATGCAAATAGTTTGTTATATATGAAAGAATAAATAGAAATTTAAGAAATTAGAGGTTTCATGAGAAAATATTCTATTAATTTAAGAAATTAGAGGTTTCATGAGAAAATATTGAGATTTGTTTGGTATGCAATTCAAATTTTGTTTCTTGTTTTTGGACTATGTGATCCATTCTGAAAACAATATTTTTATATTATCAATGTTTTTAGATTTAAATTTTAAAATTTTAAAATGTAAAATTCCATTAAAAATGATAAAAACTTTAATAAACATACTATTTCGTATTATAAATCGTTTTATTTTATGTTATAATTATATAATATTGTAAAATAGTAATTATATAAAATTTATAAAATAGGTGTTAATAAATTAATTAATAATATTTTAGATTGAGCTAAATGTTTATTTGGTAACTACCACTAATTTATAAATGTGTTACTAAACATTCATCGAACAATTTTTTAAATTGAGATTCAATTTTAAATCTCCTTTGGGACATTGGAATGATATAGAGAAGATTAGCATGGCCTCTGCGTAAGGATGACATGAACTAATTGAGAAATTTTCAAATCTTCTACTGAACACAGTCGAAAACATAAAAAATGAAATACACAGGGTTTCATTGAATCCCTTATTTTCTGATCATTTACCAAACACACCCCTAAAAACCTCTATTGTCTCCCGTAACTGTCCTCAAGGCAGGCCTTCTCGGAAATTAGTTGAATTAGGTGTACACCACAAGGAAGATCCAGCGATTAAACAAAAGTTGTGTTGCAATTTTTGTAGTGTTATATGAATTCATTCAATATTGATATGATTTCTTCCTTTTATTTCAGAGGAAGCCATTGGAAGATTACTACAGAAGACAGAGGAAACTAGTTGATTTTCAAGTAACAGGAGCACCTGGAGAAACTTGGCAAGGCTTGTTGGAAGCCTTACATCTTCAGCATATTAATGCTATCAGTTCTTCTACACACAAGCTAACCACATGAATTTGGCTTTAAATTTTGGTTGTTTTCTTTTTTTTACCATTCCGGCGTAGTAGTAAATATAAATGTGAGAGTGAAATTGACATAGCACCACCCAAGCTGGAGTTTCCCCTCCAGCAAGTATATCAAGTTTTGAAGCTTTGTTCCATTAATTACTTTCACTTTTTAACCATTCTTGTCTGAGCAGACAAGATTGTGAGTTTTGTAATGTAGAAGTGAGAAATAAGTGAGATATAGAGAACATTTTGTATGACCTTTCTTTTCTATCATGGCTTATGAAGTGAGCATTTCAACTGCTGACATTAATTCCAGTTATAGAATTTCTGGCCAAAAAAATGGAGCACAGATTGAACAGTTCTACAAGAAACTCATATTACTCTATACAGATATACAGTCCCCAAACTCACTGCCTTAACTTCTATCTAAGTCTAACATTGTAATCCAGCTGATATTTTTTTTTCAAATAGATAAGGGTTCTAACCATGAGAATGGATTACTTGCTATTCACCCCATACATCTCGAAGAAGTTCGTACCTTGTAGCATTTTGGTTGCGATTTTTCTCAGAAGTCCTACTCGACTTAGCTGGAGTTGATGGAGAAACTGTGGTGTCGAGAATAGAAGCAAAGGGTGAGCTCAACTCATCCAGCTCATCATCGCTGGTGTTAGATTTTCTGAGCACTGAAGACCCACTTCTTCTTAACTCGGGCTTTGTACTGACCTCGCCAATGAATGCCGCTACAGAAGCTACCGAGGGTGGATGATAGACGATGGGAGCTGCTGCGTGCGGGAGATTCATGACGAACTTGTCGTCGACTTCAGATGGATCCTCCTGGGGTAGAACAAGGAACTTAGATTCTAAAATGTTATATCTGTAGTAAATAAAATAGCATAAAGAGGACATGCATGCAGTAGCCTTGGAATGCCAAACAATTTCACATTAGGACTGTGTAAAATAAAGTACTAAATTAAGGACCAAAATAATGAATATCTATGCTCGATTAACCTCGATATCCAGAGCTTTGAGAACAGCATCAGGGATTGGCTCTTCGCAGAACTCATCTGGAACAAAACATTCGAGAATTCGCTTGATTACTGGTGCACCAAATGAAGGGCATACCTTCAAAGATAAATTTCATGAAATGAGAATCAATTGAGAGTTGAATAAATGATTTGACAAAGGGGAGACCAAACAAAAGGATCCTAGAGATGTACCAAAAGGGGAGACCAAACAAAAGGATCCTAGAGATGTACCTCTTTTCTTATCGATTGGTTCAGGAGCATGTCCTTTGGAAGCATCATGAGATCACTCAATGCATTTAGTAGATGGAAGGACTTGAGGGTAGTGGTATCTTTCCCTTCATCGTTATCATTTTCGTCTTCACATTGATCATCATCGTCCAAGCCAAAAAGATCGGTCAACCATCTCGACCAGTTTCCAATCTGATCCATAAAAACACAGCTAAGGTCCTAAAAGCATCTTTGAGAAAGATCAAATCACTAGATTTCAATCTAATGCACAAAATCACAGAGCTAATGCATTAATCATCTTTGAGAATGATAAAACACTATGAAATTGGCTTCAGAAAAATATGAAAGTTTAGGAGTGCAAGCACATATTCTATTGAGAGAAGGGAAAACGTTTCTTCCGTCATCTGAACAACAAGAAAGACATTTGAAATGCAATATATTGAAGTTATGATCCGTGTGATGTGTTTCTAAGCAATATATTGAACTTATGTGTGCAATAAAATGGCTTTCTCACTAACTGAATAAGACTAGGAACTATAAATAATTAAGCAGGAAACAGAGAAAAAAAATAAAGAAGAAAGTAGTTCACGGGAAAGAGATGCAATAGTTTTGAGGTTATGGCAAAAGAATCGTCTCAAGCCAATTTCATAGCAGACATCAGCTGGGAAGTGGAAGGCTTACTGCATTCTTAAGTAGTGCGCCAGCCCCAAAACTCGATTTCCCAACTGGAATTGGGAGAACTTTAGACTCGCTAATGGGGTCGGATACAGGATCAGTTGGCATCTCATCAGCAGAATCACGGAGAATGGCATTGAACATCGCTGTATCCAATCTAGCAACACATTGCTCCATTATCTAGTCACGTAACAAAGATGTATTATAATTCAACTCTAAAGAACTATGACACCATTACACCGAAAAATATGTAAAATATTACAAGCTCTAAATCCCCAAGTTGTCCATACAAGCACAAAGTTATAGTTATAGCTACTACCTTGAACTGTCGGCCTTCTCATATTACTTATTTTAGGGGGAGAAAAGGCTCCCTTTTATCAAACAAAATAATCATGAACTTCAAAAGTTGGTAAATATAATACTAATACTTTCAATTTAATTGATATTTGATAATATAGACTCTCCCCCTGCTCACTAATTCGCTTCTTAAAGAAAATAATGTGTTTGCTTTAGCCAAGTTCGATCACACATACCAATCTGGACAGAAGAGGCAAGCAACCACACTCATGTCCCCCAGCTCGGACAGGGCAAATTCTTTCACAGGCATCCTTGAAAGCTTTCTTCCAAAGGTCCAATGAGAAGTTGCCTTGATCGTGATCAACTGAACTAGAACTTCTCTTATAGCTCTTCCTTGAGGTTGGACTGGAAACTTGATTAATAGTTTTTGCTGTTGTTGACTGCATGTGTGGAGTCAATGTCTGGAAATGGAAGTAAACACGTTAAAAAGTCATAAAATTTTGTGAAGTTCTTTCAAGATTCTGATTTTTCCCAGGCTATTATTATTTTAATTTCAAGGGGCAGAAATGTAGGTAGGAAAGGCATTAAACACCTGCCACCATATGGACTCGATGACACGGGAGAAGATCCAAGCCTCAACCTTCTCTAAGGCAGATGTAAAAGTGTGTGCGTCTTCCCAGTCATCAGAACTTCCATGCCTGGCATTCCCATTCTCTCTTTTGTTTGGAGACGATGCTTTCCATTTTAATGTAGATGCCACTTTACTACTTTCTTTGTTAGCACCACTTTTGGTTGTATGAGATCCTGAAGAAACTTGCAGTTTCCGGCTCACAGCATCCTGACTTATTATTGTTCTCAGGACTATTGAATTTGATAACCAGAAAGTCAATCTGTAAATTGTAGTTAGATAATGTGTTAGTCGGCATCTTAGCTTGCATTCAATAAATGTAGCATGTCCTGATCACTGGTCTGAGTAAAAATAAATAAATCGAGCAACTTCACCCTCCAATTATTTTGAAGTCATTTGATTATTATTATTATTCTTCACCAAACTTACTAAATCTGAAAGTTGGTTCCAAAAGAAAAGTGAGTTCCAATACACAATAACCGTGAAATTGCAGCTATCGCCACAATTTTTGGTTCGCCAAGCATTTGGGCTTTCCAAAAGAAACGTGCAGTAGATGGATAGTGTAAATTATTTTTAAGGGAAATATTGAACATCATCATATCTAAAAGAAAATACCTGGGCACGTCATTTCCACAAGCTTTTGCTATCAAAACAAATCCAGAAACAATACTTCTAGCAGCATAGGCCTTCCGTGACTGAGAGCTTTCTCTACAAGAATGAAGATACAGCCTTGAAAGACGCCGTGCAGGAGCATTGACCTTATTCATGGAACTTCCATGTTCAGCAACTATAGAGTAAAGAGCTGCCTCAATTGCTGCTGCTTCTCGCAACTCTCCCTCAAGCATCTTTATCTTGTGTTGTAATTGCTGGACTTTGCTGTCCAAAATGGAATTTTTTGTATCCTTTGCATATGGTTTAGAATCCTTTCTTTCATTTCTTCTGATACTTTCCAAGCTATTATCTGAATATCCTGGAGCACCAGTTTCCTCAACTCCAACAAGCTGCTTACTACCAAACCCATTGCATTTAGCTGATTCTAATGGCGATCGAACCGACTTCACATGCTTTAATCTGTCATTTTTCTGAACTATGCTTCCACGTCCGGGAGATATTGCATGGATTCCCACATCATCTTGTCTAGCTAAGATGTCATCAGCTCCATCCTCTTTTGTTTCAACATTTGAAGCTTCCTCATAATCCATTCCATTGAATTTCCTTCCATTACTCTCCTTACCCGAATGTTCAGCTTTTTCAATCTTCACATGGTTGTGGATATCATCCTCATGCTGTTCGTTTTTTGAAGATGAAGAAAAGTAAACTGTATAACTTTTTCTACCATTTTTTTCAAGGGACATTGAACCAACAGTTGGGGAGCTAGACATAGAATTATGACCATTTTCAGGACTCCCAGGACCAGAGGATAATTCTATTGATGAAGAAGAAGATGAATTCACATTCAAATCTCCATGTGCTCCATTCTCTGGTGACACATTAGATTTTTCAGGCTCCAATTTTGAAATGGAAGCATGCTCCTGTCTATTATCAGTAGTCCCATGGATCAACGTACTCAGGCCATTCTGCAGATTCACATCAAGTATGGTTAACATTAAATCCTATGAAGCAGATAATAACATAGAGGAGATGGGAACAGATCACCATCAGGCTCGGAATCTAATTACTCTTTGGGCCACCTAAAAAGTCTTTAAATATAATGTTCACGTATTTTAGGATAAAAAATGTGGTTGTGAGATCGAAACAGACCTGAGATGTTTAGAGCACTGATTAGATCGCTGATTTTTGGGCCATTATGAAATTGTTTGTATATAATGTTAATGTAATTTTAAGGGAAAAGTATGACTACACAATAATGCATTATCGCACAAAAGTATAGTTATTGGTAGGCGAGACAGCCTAGCTAGAGCTAAAAATGCCTCAGTTGATGCTTAAATTCCAATGAAGACTTACCTCAATAGTATTCTGATACAATAAAAGCCAGACGCTGGTAATATACAGTCACATAAAGCAACATGTAGAGGGGAAATAAAATAGATACAAGCTAATACCTCTTCAGTTTGAGGTGGTACACAACCATCAGGTTCTAAAGCAGAAGAAGTCGTCATGGAAGAGTGAGACGAAACATCATCATCAGTAAAAGACGCAATCTTATTTGGATCAGCATATTCTTCATGCATAGCAGCTGAAACAGATTCGCCTTCGTAACTGTCCAATGACATCCTCCGGGACAGGGTATCCTTAAGTGAGTTATTGGTCCGTCCCTTGTCAATTGGCTGAATTTTAATGGACAAGATTGGCTGAAGTGTGTTCTTGAAGTTCCTCTGGCAATGCATTGGAGTAGTAACAGATACTGTCTCTCTCACAACACCAAATTCAGCTAAGTCTACGGTGGCACTAGCCAACAATTGGCCTTTTGCAGTCTTTTCTCTGCGAGACTCAAACAAGTTGAATTCTAAAATGTTCCTCTGGAATGTATCAGCATCCTTACCTCTAACAGGCATGTCCCTTACCAAAGCCACAGGTAACTTAAAAGATTCGTTGAATTCAATTTTTCCCTCACCAACTATAGACCCAATGGTTGGAACAACAAGATTAGTAGATCCAGAGTGGCGATCGCCATTCTCCCATTGAATAAACACAGAGCGGAGGGACGTAAGCGACTGTGAGGGTGGCCAGGGTTTTATATCCTGAACATGGATCCTATAATCAGCTTGAATAATGTCACCCCTCCTATGCTTTCCTTTCAAACCGAGCACCATTGTTGAAGAACAAAAGCAGAACCCTCAATACACAAATTTCTCCAATATGATCAAAAGGTAATATAACTACGTCACAGATCAATCACCCAACGGAGAAAATCCCATAACATCTAATGCTGAGGAGAAACGAATAACCACACTTGATTTTCGGAGCAATGTCGAACGACAATATCTTGTCCAAAACGAACTCTTTCGGATGACCATCAATCAACGCCTACACTAGAAAAATGAGTGAAATCAATAAACCAATAATCGCAGGCCACAATACCAAGCCATACAGTAATCAGTTAAAAGAACACGAAAGTAAGGCATTGCATTCAAAGATTACTCCGTTTCCTCGCATCCAGAATAGAAAATCCATAGCCGCAAATAGACTAACGAAGGGGAAATTTTCTACTCGATAGTTTATTTCGGTTGAAGATCAACAACTAAACTTCCGCTCGAGCTAAAAATGAAAAGTTGAACTCAGTGTATTTCACAGAAATACAAAATGCATAGATGAAGCCGGTAAGTACCTCCCCAAAGCTACTCCAATACTCGTCAGATCCAGATCAAATGCAATCGTAACACAATCAAACACTCGAGAAACTCAATAACAGAAAGAAGCTCAAAATCATTTCAACGGAGCAGAATGCAACAAATTCAGAGTCAGTTCTTCAATTCACAGCAAAACAACACCGAGAAAACGCAATGTTGATTTCGACGTAAGGAAAAGAAGAACAAGAAGGTTGGAGCTAGAGAAACTGGCAACAATGGCGGAGAGACGGTGAAACTTACCGTTCGCAAGGGGACTGCTCAACCATCCTCCACTGACAGTGACAGAGACAACATCGGTGGTGGAGAAGACGCCTGTATTAAAAATATAATAATTTATAAATGTACTCAAAATAAAATAAATGTTAAAATAATATTTTTGGTCTCAGCTTTGATATATATATATATATATATATATATATATATATTTCCGTTGTACTTTCAACAACTTTATTTATTTAGTTATTTTCAAAATATTCATTTTTGTTCTTTTTAAAATAGGATCATTTTAGTCCTTATTTTCCAAATTTTAATACAAAAATATATCCAAAAATTATGTTTACATTTCAATAAATATTTAGTGTAGTGTCACTTTGAAAATTAGGTGACTAAAACGAATATTTTTGAAAATAGATTGTCTAAAATGAATCAAAGTTGAGAATATATGAACCAAAATCAACATTTTGAAAATACCGTGACTAAAATTAACTAAAGTTTAAATTACATGAGCCAAAATATAATTTTAACATAGAATAAAATAAGATTTAAATACTTTTTTTAATTATACTTTCCAATTTTGTTCATTTTAATTCATATATTTTCTTCTTGGTTCTTTATTTTTTAAAAGTGACCATATTAATTACAATTTGTAAAATTTTAACATATATTTTTACATTACTGTATTTTAAGAAATATTGTGAGTAAAGTATCATTTTAAAATTGTGATTGAAATAAGTTATATAAAAATAAAAATGAATAATTTAAAATTGTCCACTTTTAAAAATAAAAGACAAAATTCAAAAAATACATGTACTAAAATAAATTAAAGTGGAGGGTAGGTCCACGAAAATAGATTTTAATCCATAAAATAAAAATAAAGCTGAAGGAATTTTCATCATTTTTCATGATTAAATGATAAACCCAATAATGCAGCGGGACATAGATTTATTTTTTGGACTGATTAACCTTATAAAAATATCAAGAAAATTACTAAGCTACAAATTAAAATAATTAATTAAACGAAAGAATATTTTTCTTGTATTTCTTTTTCTTGTCTGAATTTGTATGTGATTACGAAATTGTCGGTAGCACACATTAAATTCTACTTTTTCTTTTTCTCATTTCTCACGCAATTAATTAAATAATATCAAGCTATTTTAATAAGATTAAATCTTTGTAATGGAGTCTAGCGCCAAGAGAATTAGGTGAATTTTCTAATAATATTTTCAACTCTTACTTCACCGATCATACTTCAGTTATTATATTTCTCAAAAAAAAAAAAACTTCAATTATTATAAAGAAATTATAATAAAGGGCAAAAACCTTTACTATATTTATAAATATCACACATCCTATAAATGTTGGTTGATCTTTTCGAAAATTACTATATGTGTAATTATCTTAAAGTCTGAATGATGTTATTGTTTTCAATTTTATTAATGAACTTTATTTTTAACTATTTATGATTCATATTTCTCATTTCTTATAAACATTTTCAAATTTATATAGAAGTGAAAATATAGAAGTGTTGAAAACCATAAAAACAAGTTTTCGTTTTTATTTGATCCAAAAAATAAATAAATATATTATTTTATCATTATTCAACTCATAATATTTGAACCCTACAATTCTATATTTACTTATTAAAAAAGAGAAATTGAAACATTACGAACCTAATTTATCGGGTTATAATTTATGGATCTTTACTAATTAAATTATACAAAAACAAACATAATTTTTTAAAAACATAAAATTAAAAATAAATGGTTATGAACCAACGTCTAACCTTTTAAAGTTGATTGGCTAGATATATATAATCTAAAAATGTTATAGACCAAAATTTTAATTTAATTACAACATTTAGCATTAACTAGAATTAATTTTTAAAAATAAAATATAAATAGCGAAATGGTCCCTTTTTTTTTTTGAAAGCAACAAAATCAACAAAAGAAAAATCCAACTAAAATGGTATCAAATAGCCAAAATAAGAAAAAGAATTGTGGTTTTCATCCTGATATTTCAGCAAAATTCTAATTTTTTGTTTTTCCTTTTATTTTGGGGACAAATATTAGAGGGAAATAAAATAAAATGTGTAGATTATTATTTAAGGAAAAAAAACGCAAATACGACACCGTATTGCTCGTAGTTCGATGTGGTTTCACCAGCTCCCCACGTTGGCTGATGGCGACGCATTATTCACTGGCTTGCTTTTTCCAACTGATTAAAATTACAGTCCACGTCACCCGAGAATGTCATTCCACAGTTGCAGCCACGGCGCGTGGAWAACACGGCCGAGTTGAAACGAGTTGAATTGTTCTAACTCAGTTGAAACGAAGACGCGTGTTGGGCAGTTCGGTATATAGCGCGTGGATGAATATAAATAGCGTAGAGTAGACTTTTAAAAAATACGCGTCGCTTTCACTGAACGCCGTGGGACCCACTTAACTTGGAACGACGCCGTTTTTGTGTTGTGGACTCTGTTCTGATATAGGGGTATTTTCGTAAATACAAAACGAATTTTTATCATCTATGTGCTATTCCTTATTTATCATATACTCATACATGCATTATTTTCGATTTATAATATATGCATTATTCTCGAATTATATGTTAYATTATTCTCAAAATTTATCTTCGATATAATAATTCAGTTGAGTTCCAAATTAGAACATTTAAACAAACTTTTCTCAAGGGAAAAAAAAACATTTAAACCAACTTTGATGGTCCACAATTTGGGACGGSCACTGTTAAAATTCTTACTATTTTGATCTGTTATTTTGACTTTTCTCTACTTTAATTCGTCTATTTTTGTTAAATTGACACATGTCTTCGACTAAAAGATTTTGTCATCSAATTTTCACCCCCACATATTGTACTTAAAAAAACTCTTTTAATTGGTTCTTATATTTTAACTTTTGTTCAATTTAGCTTTTGTATTTTTAAAATTTTTTATTTTGGTATCTATACTTTAAAAAATAACAAATTTGGTCCTTTTTTGTAAAATTTTAAAACAAATTTTATACCCAATAAAAATATGTTAATATAAATTTATGGCTACATCTCAAGAAATTCAGTAAGTAAAGTGTATGTACAAATCTTGATTGAGATAAAAATAAAAATGAACGGAGATGTGTTATTGAAACTTACTTTTAATGTGGAGTTAAAAAGGATTTCCATAAACGTACCATCATAAAGAACTCCAACGGTCTAATTAAAAAATACTAAATGGAGAATAGTAAATTTATATAGTAGCTAGTCGTTGGAGGTATTTATGTGGAACATCTAAATTTATGTGTAAGATGTTTGACAGCATACTAAGTTTGAGTAATATGTATCCCATCATTTAAAAACCTTATCTTAAATTAGGGTGTGCACATTGTTGGCGAGTAAATTTGGCTTAGTTAAATTACCCACCACTATTATAGACACATGCAATCCGAGAATCGAGTTTGTATGAAGCATATAGTGAGAGGTAGGGTTTTTGACATAGCTTGATTACGAAATCTCTTTCCCTATTTATAATATGGAAAACCTTTCATGTTCCTAATTATCTTCTTTCTTTGAATTACTTAGATCCCCGAGATATTGAATTTGATGGCCTAGTTCATCAATACATGAGGGAAATTGTCGAGGTTAAGGAAACTCTTGGGTCGAGACCCAAGGGTTGCCGACCAAACCGTGGACGCGAGCCCTTGGGCTAGTTAGTCCCATGGTCATTATCCATTCGTGTGAGCCTGCCTATGGGTCTCGACCCTCCAGGTACGACCAAGGAGTTGGTCGACCTAATAGGCATTGTCCTTCATGTTCTGTTCAAGAGGACTCAGCTCTTCGGGACTCGATTCATTRATTTATATCTCTAGTACTCTTGACCCATGCAGTTCATACACATGACTCGTAGGTTAAAAATCATTTTTGGTCCTTGTATGTACTTCTATTGAAGTAGTAACGATTTAGTCTATTAACTTTAGTTTGTAATGATTTAGTCTCTATACTTTCAAATTGCTAACAATTAATTAGTATATGAATTGTAGTATGTAACAATTTAGTCTTTGTAGTTTAAAGTTGTAACGATCTTAGTCCGAATYGTGATTTTTTTTGTTAAGTTTCTTATATATGTAAATTGATAAATCGATGAGAGATAAAATGTGTTTMTAAATTACAAATACTAAATTGTTATATGAAAAAAAATTGATAATTTTAATAAGATTTTTCGAGGTAGGGACTATGACGGTGACCCACGAACCAACAATAGGGATGTGACGACAACAACCCGAGTTGGTGGCAACCTTCTCTACTGCGGTGCAACACCCAATTGATGACAACCTATGTACGATGGTGTGACGACCATTCAACAAATCCACAAACAATCTCGCAACAATCGTAGTACTATCCGACAACGGTGGCGGCACGCTTAAATCTGACAAACTCGAGCAGCGACCCTCTACATCGACGTCAATTCGCGGCATACCACCCACGAATGTGATGGTGCGGACTCTGCATACGCCGGATTGTATCATGAACCGTGAATAACAAAAAATATGGAACGTCGATTGTTGGAGGTGATTTCTCATTGATCACAGTGGCAGTCCCTGATATGATAAGAAATGACAAACCACCCAAAGTCAACAAAATTAAAATTCATCATCTTGGACTTTACTCAACAGGACGAGCGTCAGCCCCTTTATGGATTGGGGGAGCCGACCTTACCCTTCACACATCAACACCTAATTTACTAGTAGAGCTTATCAAAGGACGACACTCCGTCATGATTATTATTTCTCCAACATATTCCACAACGGGACGGTGTGAACTTTAAAAAGCCATTAGAGGCTTATCGGACACTTCGTCGGAAGCTCCAACCTATAAATAGAAACCTCCCACTCCTTTCTAGATACGCGAAACTATATCATCTCTTGAATGTAGCTCGAATATTCACTGACATCCCATTCTGTTAGGTCAGTTTCCATCCGAACTGAGGTTCGCAGACTTGATCAAACATGATGAAGAAAAACCCATGAAGAAGCTTCTCGGAGGGGGCGGCGGCGACTAAATGGTATAATGGAATTGATTTAGCAAACTATGGCAGAGAAGTATTGGAAAAAACAGAAAAAAAAAACGCAGCAGAATCTGGGGAAGAAGGTGGAAGTTTGTTGATTTATGGATTCCAACATTTGCGCCAGATTTTTGCATGCCTCATTTTAGAATATCTTCTATTTATTTATAAAATGTATAACCACATAGTAATTATTTGGGGAATTTGGGCTGAATAGTCAGTGAAGCCAAAAAAAAGAATGACAGTGTATGTTTTCTAAAAGTTTTTGTTGTTGCCAAATGATCATGACTCTCATTTTATGTTTCTCTTTCCATCCTCTCTTTCGTCGCTTCCTTTCTTCTCCCATTTTTTCTCTCCATCATCTCCCTTATTTTTCTCTGGTTATGCAGAATAAGTTCCTCCACCATCTCCGTTATTTTTTCTTTTCCCATTTTTGAGATTTCTCTCTTATTCCCCCGTTTATCTCTCTCCCTCCCTCTTTTGTCGTAATTTTCTTGTTTCCTCCCACTCCCTTGATGATTTTTTATGTTATCTTTTTTTCAAAATGCCTGTCGAGAAAAACTACCTAAAGGGAAAGGTTAGATTTTTCAAAATATTTAACAAATCCTAAAGTAGACGGTGACGGGAGAGGAGATGTTGTTGGCGCAAACGTGAGACCCACCATCGAAGAAGAATATCACCGGAAAACACCTAGAAGACAGAGGGAGTGATGAAGGAGAGAGGGAACGGGAGAGAGCGAGAGATGAGGGAAAGGGAAGAATGAGAGAGAGCTAGAGGAAAGAGAGAGAATTAGAATTTAATTACTTGAAAATCTATTTATATAATTAATAAATTTCCTAAATTATTGAATTAATTTTGAATGAATATTTATCAATAATTTTAAATATTTTGAAATAAAATGTTGTTTATCTTATTTATCTAAATAATTATTAATAAAATTTGATTAATTTAAATGAAATCGTAAACAAAATTAAAATCCGTGGAAAGTAAATAAATAAAATATTTGTCAAATTCAAATTCAAATTCAAAATGATTAACAAATAATTTAAGAGATTAAAGATTTTTCAATTAAAATTTTGAAAATTAGAATTAAGGAAAATAGAATCTCAATCTCCTTAATTTGACGGTATTCATATTCAAATTTGAAATTTAAATCAAATTTGTTTAAGATTTTTTTCTTCCTTAAAATCTCTCATTTGATCTTCTAATCTTAATTATGATTCACTTTAATTCATATGAAAGTATCAAATTTAAAATTTAATTAAAAAATTATTGGATGGTGAAAGTTATGTATAACGAAACAAAAAATTGAAAGGAAAAACCAAGCAATAAGAAAGTACAAGATAAATGGGAGGGAGAAGAAGGGGAGGGATGAGAGAGAGGACGTAGAGAAACGTAAAAGAGGGGTATGATGGTCATTTTGCAACAACGAACCCTCAGCCCAAATTCCCTGTTAATCTGGTAATTTAGAAAAAAAAAAAAGTTGCATATTTGAAAATACACCTCCCATAGATGCTACACTCGTAAGAACTTTCTTGGGATCCCTCGTCTACGATGGCGATGGCCACCGGTGAAGGCGACGGCAGTCCTGAGTAAGTTTATTGGTTTCTGGGTTTTCAGTAGCAATGGCAACTCTCTAAGAACGGACCTATATTTTTCTTCAACTTCTGCTCAAAACCGTCCAATTTTCAACCATGTGGTGCTACATCAGCCGCAACAAAATCAAATCCATTTCACTCCATAGCTCAATTGCAATTGTTCCTCTTCGTTTCATCTTCGCCGTTGATTCTTCCCTTCAGTCTTACACCGTCACGCCGCCGATCAAACCCTGGCCGCAGCGTCTATACCCCAGGCGCCTCGTATCTATGATCATTGGACAACAAAATCTAGACCTCGCCCTCCAAATATTCCACCACGCCGGAAAATTTCATCCCGGATTTTCCCACAATTACGATACATATCATGCGATTGTTCATCGTCTCTCTCGCGCTCGAGCTTTTGAACCCGTCGAATCTCTGCTCCTGGACTTGCAGAGTTCTGGTATCAAGTGCGGGGAAGATTTGTTCATTACAGTGATTAGAAGCTATGGGCTTGCGGGTCGGCCGAAATTGGCCGTGAAAACATTTCTACGGATTCAAACCTTTGGCGTTCGACGCTCGGTGAGGTCGTTGAACACGTTGCTCAATGCTTTGGTGCAGAACAATCGGTTTTCTTTGGTTCATTTGTTGTTTAAGCATTCAAATTCCAAATTTGGGGTTGTACCTAATGTGTTTACTTGCAACATTTTGATCAAAGCGCTTTGCAAAAAGAACGACATCGAGGGTGCACGGAAGGTGTTCGACGAAATGCCTGCCATGGGTATGGTTCCAAATGTTGTTACTTACACTACAATTTTAGGTGGTTATGTTTCGAGGGGTGATATGGTTGGTGCCAAGAGAGTTTTTGGTGAGCTTTTCGATCATGGCTGGCTTCCTGATGCGACTACTTACACAATTTTAATGGATGGGTACATCAAACAAGGTAGATTTACTGATGCTGTAAAGGTGATGGACGAAATGGAGGAAAATGGGATCGACCCAAATGACATTACTTATGGAGTCATAATTGAAGCTTATTGTAGGGAGAAGAAGTCTGGTGAAGCACTTAACCTGCTTAATGATATGCTTGAAAAGAAGTATATACCAAACTCAGCACTTTGCTGTAAGGTGATTGATGTTTTATGCTGTGAGGGGAGGGTGAAGGAAGCTTGTAAGCTGTGGGAGAGGCTTTTGAAGAAAAATTGTACTCCAGATAATGCTATTACAAGCACTCTTATTCACTGGCTTTGCAAGGAGGGGAATATATGGGAAGCAAGAACGTTATTCAACGAGTTTGAGAGGGGCTCAATTCCGAGTCTATTAACATATAACACGCTTATTGCAGGAATGTGTGAGATGGGGGAGTTGTGTGAAGCCGCTAGGCTGTGGGATGACATGTTGGAAAAAGGTTGTATGCCTAATGAATTTACTTATAACATGTTGATAAAAGGATTTCTTGAAGTTGGTAAAGCTGAGGAAGTGATTAAAGTCGTGGAGGAGATGTTGGATAAGGGATGCTTGCCAAATGAATCAACATACTCAATATTGGCCGAAGGGCTCCTCAAATTGGGAAAGGGAGGAGAATTCTCAAATATTCTTTCGATGTTTATCTCGAGCGGAGTTGTTGACTTTAAAGTCTGGCATCTATTTGTGCCCAAGTTTGTTTGTAATATGGATGAACAGTCAAATATCCTCAACAAAATATTGATCGAGACTTCTAGTTAGAAATTCTTTAATCTAACCATCATACTGGAGTGGAGGTAAATTGTTTTAAGCTTTGACCTGCCCTCAAGGTTTAGCCCTTTCATGTAGATAATTTATTGTGAGTATGTTGAAGAGCTAATCCTTTCTCTCTCTTTTGGCCTGCAGAAATTACTAAAGCCAGTCATTTGTCAGCTCCGGATATTGATTAGTAGACCGCCTCAGACGAATGGGGCTCTGCCAGTGTTTTGTTTCGATATTTTTTAGAACATGTTTAACAAAGATTGTACTGTCCATAATTATTCCCAAATTGTGGCTGTTCTGCTGATGTGCCATTTGGGTGTAGAAGGGAATTTTCTCTCTTCAAGGTACACATTCTGAAAGAATACATGTGCTAGCATTTTTATAAGATGTTTATGTGGCTTCTTTGATGTAAGATGGTTTCTTTGAAAAATTTTATTCTTGATTCATCACATAGTCACTCATAGTTAATTTTGGCCACTGCTCACTGCTATGCTAAGAGAATAGGTAGGTTTTCTAGTTGGATGACCTTGCTTTTTTGAAATACAGGCCTCATTGCAGCTACCTCCGATGCCTGACATGAGGTCATGATAAGCACCTCTAAACCGTCTTCTTTTGTCTAGGCAAATGTCTATCTCAACATTGAAGGGTGAGACTGAGGTCTCTCTAGATCATCAGTCCTCCTCCCTCTTCCACACGTACTAGAATCGCGCAAGTTGGGTTCGGCAGGCTTACAGGGAGATTTGGAGTCTATTTGCAGCTGATTGAAAGAGCTAAGGATCTTGAAGCCATGTTGGACTCGCTCGTGAGGTAGATACAATTCTTTCCTTATCACAATAGCTCAACTTTTATTTGAATGAATAGTAGATGTTTCCTAGTGAATAATAGTTTTTCCATGAGTAGTAGCTTCTTCCATCTCTTGTCATTGGCCTTACTATTCCTATGTCTTAGCAGAGCGCTGGCTGAGCCACAAGAGTTACATGGTAGAATCGACGAGTTGGAACCATCGACTTGAAGAGATCAACTCCGACAGGGTCGTGCTAGGCAACGACTCAAGTGGCCAAATTTAAGGGATACTGGTGTCTCAATGCAGGTAGCCAAGCTGCAGAGACTTGCCATTAGCGGTTCTTTTTTTATATATATATATTTATATTTGTCCTACAATAGTTGAATAGCGATGTTTGTTTTGCCTCGTCAGTGGAAATGTTTCAAGGTGCGCGTAAGCTGACCTGGACACTCATGGATATTAAAAAAAAAATATATATATATATATATATAAAATGTTGTAAGAATTTCCTTACAAATATTAATATAATTTATACACTTGTATTTATATAATAGGTTTGTTTTTATTAATTTAATATCTTGTTAGTATTTATTGAACAAATTAATTTTTATTAGTCAAATATATTTTAAATAATAACTAATATTAAATGTAAAATTAATCTTTTAACTTCAATATTTTTTCAAAAAGATAATTATATAATTAGTGTTATTTTGGATGAAAGTTATCTATCGTATCATCACATTATACTTCTTAAGAGTACAAATATCAAACGTATCTTTGTCTTTAAATTTTTACGTTAAAATTATATATTTATGACAATAATTATTATTATTAATAATTATTTCAAAATATTAAAAATAAATAGAGATTTTATGTAATTGTATTAAATTTTATTTTACATGGACATCTGATATATAAATATATCTCATTGTATAAAGTTATTTATTACTCAATGGATACAATAATTTATTGAATTATAAAATTGAGATTAAAATATTATTTTGATCCATGTAATTTTAGTTATGGTTCATTTTAGTCTAACTTTAGTTCATTTTAATTACTTTGAAAATATTCATTTTGGTCACTGTACTTTTAAAAAATGATCATTTTAGTCTCTAATTGCAGAAATTTAACACAAATTTTAATACACGACGGAAACTCTTTAGTATAAAGTAGTGTTTAAATTTTAAGAAATATATTGATTTTAGTGTCATGTTGAAATTGTGATAGAAAAGAATGAGATTAAGAATAAAATGAAGGGACAAAAATGGTCACGTTTTAAAAGTCTAGGGACAAAAATTAACATTTGAAAAGTACAAACACTAAAATGAACAAAAATTAAAAATACAGATGCTAAGAAAACCTAGAATTTCATGTTTGAAAAGGACATCTAAAATACATTAGATGCCTCCGTATAAACATCATAGGATATTTTAAAGATTTACGAGTATCTCATATTCCTACGAAACAAACGTGAGATCTACAGGTTTATCTAATAAGAATTTTTGATTTTCAACTCTTTATATTTTTTAATAAAATTGGAAACGAGGGAACAAAAAAATAAAGGTTTAGCGAGAGCACTGTATTTTGTGTTTTTTTAACRTAAGGACAGTTTTAGTTGTGTATTATTGTGAGTGTGTGACCCCTCTTACTTTCCCTCCAACTTTCTCCGTCGCTCTTTCTTTGTCCCAACACTTGATTTTGGACGCAAATTCCAAATCCAAATCCAAAAATCACATCACAAACTTGAATCAACAAGAAAAAAATATCTAACCCATCAATCAAAATTCTGCCTTCTCTCACTCTCAATTCCTTCTCCTCAAAGTTCAAACCCTAGTGCTCCTCCATGGAACTCTGTCCTTTGCTCGACACTTGTCTTCCTTCGCCCTCACGCTCCTCTTCTTCCTCGCACCGCCCTCTTCTAGTTTCGCTTTCTGCGCGGCCAAATAATCACCGTTGTTCGCGTTCTTTTCGGCCAATTCCTCGCCGGAATGTTTGTTTTGCTTCAACCTCGGACACCCTTGTTGCTGGGTCGCGCAAGGAGGATGGGAAGAGTGGAGAAGCTGTAAGCAAGAAAGAAGAGGACGAGTTCGGAGATTTGAAGGCTTGGATGCACAGGAATGGGCTTCCTCCTTGCAAGGTCGTTCTTGAGGAAAGGGCTTCTCATGATAAGAAGCATAGGCCCATCCATTACGTGGCTGCCAGCGAAGATCTCGAGGTCAATTTGTAAAGATTTCGTTTCATTTCAAGTATTTTGTTGTCAATTCAGTGGATTCATTGTGAAGCTTTTCCGGGTTTTTTTTTAATTTAATTTTATTTATTTTTTAATTTTTTAGGCGGGGGATGTCGCATTTTCGGTGCCGAATTCACTGGTCGTGACTCTCGAGAGAGTGCTAGGAAATGAGACCGTCGGTATGGTTCAGCGTTTATTTTAGGGGATTTGGATTTCTTCTGACGTAAAACGTTCGAGTGATTTTGCTGCTTCTTGTTCTTGTTACTAATGAGAGAATTTAAAAGTGGCTGCCCGAGACTAACAAGTGAAATAAAATATGTTTCATGATCTTGGTTTGTAGATAGAAGAAGTGCTGGAAGTGGAATGTTTATAGGATGCATGTAGATTGAACCTGTTATGCACTTTGTTTTTACAGTATAAACCAAGCATTTCTACTTTCGTTCCAGGACTTTAGTCACGTTGCTTTCTTGGTCTAAAATCTTAAGTGCTGCAAGTTTTCTAGTCGATTGTTGTTGCGTGATTGTGGAAATTTTATTTTCCCCATCATAATTAAATTTTACAGTGAATTTGGGAGCAAGAAGACAATCTTGAGTTAATAGTCTGTCTGTAATGGCTGTTTGGGTCTTCTTGCAGCCGAATTGTTGACTACCAATAAGTTGTCAGAGTTGGCATGCTTGGCTTTGTATTTGATGTATGAGAAGAAACAAGGAAAGAAATCTTTCTGGTACCCTTATATTAGGGAGCTTGATCGCCAGCGTGGGAGGGGCCAACTAGCCGTAGAGTCCCCTCTTCTATGGTCAGAAGCTGAGCTTGATTACCTTTCAGGCAGTCCGACAAAGGTAACAACTTACAAGATTGATTTGTGACTTATACTTTGCCTAATTACCCATACAAAGTTGGAGATGTCATGGCTAAAACTTTAACTTGGATGGATCAGAATGAAGTTCTTGAAAGGGCAGAAGGAATTAAGAAGGAGTATAATGAGCTCGATACAGTCTGGTTTATGGCTGGCTCTCTGTTTCAGGTAATGCCCTTGTAATTTTGAGAACCACAAAATGATGGAGGAACAATCACATTAGCTGAGTCTAGCAGACGATTCTTTGAACTAATTTTTTATTGGGAAATTTGCAGCAATACCCATATGATATTCCGACTGAAGCATTTTCCTTTGAGATTTTCAAACAAGCCTTTGTTGCAGTTCAATCATGTGTGGTGCATTTGCAGGTAATTAAAACCTGTTTAGTTTCACTGCCCCTCTTCTTGTTCTTCTTTCTCCAATTAATTGGGAAGTTAATGATCTCGACTAAGACAAATGATATGTCAATATTAGTTGAGATTATTAAATTGTTATCCGTGGGCATGCATTTGTATTATAATCGAGAGTTATGATTTATATATCATCTATATTTCTCAACTATCATGGCAGTCATGACAGTCTATGAAGTTCTGAGCATCAAATGACTTTCCCCCTCCATTAAGGCGCCTCCTGCACCTCCATGGTTACATTGTTGGGAGGGAATTAGTTAAGATTCACATACGAAATTATATCTCATTTGTTCATGGGCTCTAGAGTAGTTGTATCATATCCATCCTTAAATTACTACTTCACATCGGAAACATTCTAAATTTATCGAGGACAAAGGTTTTTTGCTTTCCCTCTAAAAAGGAAGAAATTACTGCATGATATTCTTTGGAATTATATGTTCATTTATGCACGAATGGAGAATATCATTGTGGACTTATCAGAAGAATAGTAGGATACCATTCTGGAAAAAGTCGTGGAACATCTTAAGGATATCCCCTTTGATGACGTTCCAAGTCCTTTTCGAGAATTCACTAGTGTATCCATCAGTTCTTGTGCTTTATTTGCCCCTAGATTGTCCACAGTTGCCTTAATCTCTTCTATGGTAAAGGGACTTTAATCTCCTTTTTCATGTTCTCAAGTATTGGCCTCCAATTGATGCTAGGAAGCATGGGCATAAATTATTCCTTTTGGTGTAAAGCTTCTGTAAAAAGGAGACAGTATCCTCTTCAATAGACTTTTCTTCCGTGATACATAAGCTGTCCTCTTTTATGATTTCAGCAATAGGACTCTTCTTTCTTCTATCACTTGAATAGGAGCGAAAGAAGCTTGGGTTTTCATCCTGAAGAAGCTTGGTTTTGGAATACCACCCATTAGCTTGGTTACAAGCCCTTACAAAGCAATTGCGAAGGTCTTAGCTTCCAGGTTGAAGAAGGTTTTGCCTTGCACTGTTGCCAAAATAAAGCTGCTTTTGTTTCTGGCAGACAAATTGTAGATTCCATCTTGATAGCTAACTAAGTGGTGGATGACTATTCCTCAAGGAAAGTTCTTGGTCCATGAATGGAAAGAAACCAAGAGGCAGACTCAAGGCTTCAAGGGGTATCAGACAAGGAGACCTGTTAGCCCATTTTCTCTTTCTGATAGTGGCTGATGTTCTTAGCAGCATGCTTGACAAAGATACAAATGAATGCTCATTCAAGAATTCATTGTAGGCAAAGACCCTATCCATATTAGCCATTTGCAATGCAATTCGCAGATGAGACTTCGCTTTTTTCAGTCTGTGACAGTATTAAGATGGATAATATCTTAAAGGTAGTTAAGAATTGAGTAGTTATCAGACTTAAAGATCGACTACACCAAAACAACCGTCACGGGCATAAATGTGGAAGAAGAAGAGGTGATCTCCATGGCTACCAGATGGGGATGTGCTCCCTATGTCCTATTTGGGTCTTCCTTTGGGAGGTAATGTAAAATTTGCTGCTTTTTGGAGCTCCGTTGAAGAAAAAAATTAGAAGTAGGTTGGAGAAATGGAAGAACTTCACCTTCTCAAGAGGTGGTAGAGTTACCTTGATAAACGCATTCCTCTCTAGCCTCCCTATCTACTGGTGCATTAGTGCTGGTATGATCGCACCCAAACCTCCCTCTCTACTACTTCTCCATTTTTTATTGCCCTGGAAAAATTTATCAAGAGATGGGAGAGGATCATCAGGAAATTTTTAATGGAGAGGTAGCTAAAGATGCCAATGGTTTTAGTTCTGTAAATAGGAGCGTGACTTCATTACCCAATGGGGGTCTAGGTGTTGGGAATCTAAAGACAAAAAACATGGCTTTACTTGTGAAATCAGAAATGGGGTTCTAAATTCACGAGTGAGGAGGCAGCATTGTGGAGGCAATTAATTGCTTGTAAATACAGGCTGTCCAAAGCAGAGCGGGTCCCATCTCCAAAAGGAGGTCAGAGGTTTAAAGGCCCCTGGATTTTTATTGTAAAATGCTGCAAGAAGGCTGACTTGTGGAACAAATTAGTTGGCAAAGGAGATAAAATAAGATTTTGGAATGACAAGTTGCTAGCTAGCAGACCGCTAAGAGGAGAGTTTCCAAGGCTTTTCAGAGTCGCAGGTTTTCTACATCTCCAAATGCTGGTTTTCAGAAAATGAAGGTTGGGACCTAAAATTCAGAAGAAACCTAGCGGACCAAGAAATTTTGAATGAGCAGAGCTCTTTAATCCTCTCTCAAATGTCAGTCTAAACAATAGAGAAGAGAAAAAGAAGTGGTCCCTTGAGAAGGATGGTACTTTCTCTGTTAAATCTCTTGTAAAGGAGCTTAGTGGCAATGTTGACGGCCTTAATCAATCCTTTATCAAAACCATCTGGTAGGCTAGAATTCCAAATAAGGTGAAAGTGTTTTTGTGGCTCTTTGGCCTTGAAAAGCTCAATACTTGCACTTTATGAAAGAATGCCCATGGCCTCCTTGTCTCCTAATTGGTGTGTGTTATGCAGGAAAAATATGGAAGACAATCTTAACCTTTTATTTCTTTGCCCGTTTGCTATCTCTTGGGCAAATCTGCAGCATCTTCAACTTGAGTTGGGTGTTTTGTAGGAAATGTTCAGAAGGATCTTTTAGTTAATCTTCAGAACCTTTTTTTGTGGGTAAATATAATATTATTTGGTTTGACGCAGTACGGTTGGCCGCTTGTAGAGAATTTGGTCTGAAAGAAATACAAGAACGTTTCAGGTGTTGATACTTCAAGGGAGGATTTTTGGGGTCTTATTAGATTACACTCTTCGAAATGGTGTTTACTTCACAAAGATTTTTGTAATTATAGCTCGTCACAAATCTATTCCAATTGGAACTCTTTTTTGTAATCCTTTGGCCTTTGGGGATAGCTCATCTTCTTCTTTTGTATATCCTCTCTTTTGAATAATTCAAGTATTCGTTTCTTAAAAAAAAAGAAGAAATTTTTGCTTTCTGGCCTTGCTTTATTGTCTGGAATTCTTATACAGATATATACAAGCATTCTTCATTCATTACAAAGATTGCAAAGGCTCTGACTTGTCATATTACATCCTTCAATTCGAAATGAGAAGTTAAAAATTTAAAATCCTTTTGTTGTTTTATCCTTGATTCTATCCTCTTTGTACAAAGTGCATGCATTTGTGGCAAGATTGCAGATGCACTCGTTGTTATGTCCTCCAACTCCAATGACAACCTAAGATTCATTTGTTGTTCTTCTGCAATATGTCTGTTCCTGATTCTATTCTTTTTGGTAAAAGATGCACGTGTTTATGGCAAGGCTAGTTGATATATCACTGTCTCATAAGCGGTATCTGGTCCATGGCTTCTTACAAATATTGCATCTAACTTCTATTTCCTATTTGTTTCCAGTAATTAAAGTTATCTTTGCTTATATAATAAAAGAAAGAATTCTTTTTTATTCTACTTTTTAAAAGCTATGCTCTTCTGAATTGCGAAGTTCACTTGTTTTCTCCAGGAAGCATTATTTTTAAGATTTTCTCTGTTCTTAAGAAGCTTCCAAATTGATTATATAAAGGCTTATTGAATTCAGAAAGTAAGCTTGGCTCGGAGATTTGCTTTGGTTCCTCTTGGCCCTCCGCTGTTGGCTTATAGAAGCAATTGCAAGGCAATGTTAACTGCTGTTGATGGGGCTGTGGAACTAGTGGTTGATCGTCCATACAAGGCTGGGGAATCAATCGCTGTTTGGTAAATAATTGAACCTGTTCAACTGTTCACAGGATCAATTATCTGTTGATGTTTTTGTTACTGTATCTAGCTTTTAAGTCCTTTAGCAAGATTTTCATTCTTGTTCAAATTCTTGACAACAGGTGTGGGCCACAGCCTAATTCGAAGTTACTCCTGAATTATGGTTTTGTTGATGAAGATAATCGCTATGACCGCCTAGTAGTTGAGGTAAGACTTTGTGTTTGATTGTGGGCAATATTTTGGATAAATGATGTCTCTTAATGTTCTTGACCTTTATGTTTCAGGCAGCTTTGAATACCGAAGATCCTCAGTATCAGGATAAAAGAATGGTTGCTCAAAGAAATAACAGATTGTCGATACAAGTTTTTCATGTATGAATTTAAAATACTGGCAGAGATGAAGGTTTTAAGTTTATACTTTTCATGAAATCTTATTTCTGAAACAGGTTTATGCTGGAAAGGAGAAAGAAGCGGTCTCAGACATGCTTCCTTATCTTCGGCTTGGCTATGTTACAGATCCTTCAGAAATGCAGTCTGTTATTTCTTCTCAAGGTCCAATCTGTCCAGTAAGTTTCTTGTCCCTGCTAGTGTCTTTTTTTTTTTTTTTTGGCTTGTTTAAGGATTGGATCTCTAATAGAACTTGTTAGTTGAAAATTCTTTAATTTGATTCTTTCTGTTGAATTTTGGCATCTAGATTACTGTTAGTTTACACCGCATTTTTTAATTATGATATGTTTATGTGAGTGACTGGGTCGTGCACTTCGATTGATGTCATAGTACAACTGCTGCTTGATCATGCAACCGATTGGTCAGAAAACTTGTATAATTTTAATATCTTAGGTAGGCGGTGACTATGAGATTTGAAACCCATCCGCGAAAAGTAACTCTTTTTTTTTTTCCTCCCTTGCCCAGTACCATTTGGCCGATCAATGGTGGTCGTAGGCGTACGGTTAACTCATTTTCCCTTGCCTTATTTGTCCAATTTTGTATTTTCCAAACAAGGACGTGAAATATACTAATATTGATGCCTGGATTCAGATTTGTAAAATACTTCAACTATATCGATAACCATCACCATGCCATGAAAGGAATCTTGAAACATTTCTTTGTAGGTGAGCCCATGTATGGAACGAGCAATGCTGGACCAAGTTGCTGATTATTTCAAGAGACGACTGGCTGGCTACCCAACTACCTTGAGCGAGGATGAGTCTCGGGTAATTTTTGGCTTCTCTTTATTAGATCTACCTGCAGTAATCGATTATTTAAACTTACCCATCTATTTGAACAGTTGGCAGATGGTGATTTGAATCCAAAAAAGAGAGTTGCTACCCAGCTTGTTAGGTTAGAAAAGAAAATCCTTCATTCGTGCTTGCAGGTGACAATCGATTTCATAAATCAGTTACCAGATCACACTGTATCACCATGTCCCGCTCCGTACGCCCCGTTGTTGAGATAAGTGAGGTAATGAGTAATCCGCTCGTGTTTGTTGTTTATGGAATTGCAGTGTTTTCATCACCTTTGATTCACTTGTAGTTGTAGATTATTCTTCCAGCAGTGGTCAGGTCACGTATCTGTTTTATGATATTGCAAATACCGAATTGCCATGCAAAAATCATCCTTTCTGAGTTGAAGCTAAAAGTAAGGTCAGTTAAAGTTTGACGAAAGCTCATTTATCTATTAAATTTCTTTAAAATGCAACTACGAATGACAATTTTATCTTTTTTACCCTCTTTTCCATTACCCTAACTTTTCCTCTCTTATATCCAATTGGAGAAGTTTCTTGTAACCCTGTTGGAATCGGGTTCTTCCCCCTTTTGTAATTCCATGCCATCAACGAAATTGTTTCTTAGTAAAAGGATAATGAGGTCTCGTGGCCCCAACCCGCTAATCTCCAACGAAGTGTTTCGGCTATCCCGAGATTAGCTGGGTTTTGATTTGAAATGGTTATGTATGTTGTTATTGGGCAGGTGGAGTTGGTGAGATGGTTGAAGAGGAAGATGATAAATTTGGAGGCCATGGATTTGAAGTTAGCCATATCCTTGTCTTCTCAACAGGCGTGACGTGGCTTTTCTTTTGGTACTACCAGTCCCCTTTGTAAATAACCACAATTACTCCCATCCTTCTTTCAATACAATTCCCTTCCCTTTTTTTGAGATATTTATTTATTATTATTATTCTTTTTAGAAAATTTTTTAACAACTATTTCGTTTTTAGCAAGGTATTTAAATTCTTTGCTGAACTTCAAAAACAAAAACAAGCTTTATAGTTTTCAAAATTTGGCTTACATTATCAAATAACAATTACTCGATGTGAGTGTGAGTAGTGTTTGGAAGCTTAGGGTGCGTTTGGTTGATCATTTGAAAATAAGGTATTCAATGAAAAGTAGTATTTTTAGATACGTTTGATAGCAGATTTAGAAATTGAATCTCACTTTATAAAAATTGTGCTAGGTGTTTAGTAGTATATTTGCTAACTAAATATTTAGTTAAATTTGACATAATGTTAATTGATTTATCAACTTATATCATAAATTTTATATAATTATTATTTTACAATATTGTATATTTTATAACCATCATTGGTGATTCATTGGTCCAAAAGAGTTAGGATTAATTGAGAGGGAATGATTTCAAACTCCATGATATGGCCACTTACCTTTAATTTCTATGTGTTTGTCGGCATAAAATGTTGTAGGGTGTAGGTGGTTGTTTTCAGAATTTTCACTGTTTAGATTACAAAATTCAAAGACAGTCTGACAAACATGTATTCACTGAATTTATTTGATTCGGTGAATTTGAAAACAAGAAACATGATCTGAATTACCTATTAAATATGCCTTTAATTTTTAGATAGCCATATAAATTTTTGTGCTTACAACCTTTGGATATTATATTTTTAATTTTAAACTTTTTTACGAAACTTGATGCATAATGCACTTATACAACTTTCAAATATTATATTTTAATTTCAACTTTTGATTATTGAAGCTTGAGCTTTAGTGTCTATTTGGTCCATGAGTGTTAAAAATTTGAAAAATGATTTTAAATGACCATTGGAGTCATTTTAAGAAATAAGTTCTAAGATTTTACAATAAATACAACCCTACTCCTATCTGCATCGACAACATCTTCGGTATGACTTCTCCTTATTCTCGCGACTATAAAGAATCCATAAATCCTGAAAAAATCTCAACGTAGTTTCATCTCTATCTTCAGCGAGTTCAAAATACCATTGTCAAATTTAATTAGTATATAATATTAAACGTTGGTTTACCTTCTATTTGTTCCTTATATATTCAAATACTCTATATTTTTTTAAATTAAAAATTTAAAAATCCGTTGAGCTTGAGTGAGAGTCGTCTCATACAAATTACTATGGCCGACTTCCGCACGCCAAGAAGGTACGATACGACATGTCGTTTAGTGGCCGTCTAGTAGCCTCAACATCACCAATCACGGACGTATCCCATATTTATCCAATCATATTACGTCAGAGTTTTCAGATCCGTATAGAATTTGCGAATATTAGTTCCCTTCCCCTCCCTTTTAAACCAATCAAATTCCCACCGTCATTTACTTTTCTCACCGACTGGCCAACATTAAAAAAGCCCCCCCACTGGGATCCAGATCCGACGGCCCTGATTTCCCAATCGGCTTAAATCCCAGCCGTCCAAATTGCACGAGCCCGTGTGGAAAAATCTCGGGGACGGCGTTTTAGCGTAGTAGACTAGAGAGAGTGAGGGTTCGCACTTCTCTCTCTCTCTCTCTCTCATTAGGTCTTCTACGCGCTTCTCTGTTCTTCTTCGCTTCGATCTTCGATTTCGACTGCGCTTGCGTTGTTTGATTTGCCGGAAGTTCTCGCGGATTCGAGATTTAGATTCTATTTGGAGTTTGCAGTTGGATTTTGAGTTGTGGTTCTGTGGCGGCTCCTGTGATCTACGCTTGTTGATTTGGGTTTTCTCGGAATCTCGCGGTTCTTTAGTTGTTCGCTTGTCCTTGGGGTTCACCCAGAGGCCAGTGGAAGAAGTTTCATCTCGTGGAGCCGTTGGGATTTACTGGGGAGCTTATAAGGCTACTGGTAATTTATCTAGGGTTGTCTTCTGCTTTTCAGTTTAGGTCCTTTTTTTTTTCTTTCCTTTTCATTTGGCCATCGTGGATGGCTGAATCTTAGGGGGGTTTTGTTGTACTTGGTTTAATTGTAAAGAAAATAAGTAGTGGGATCTCCATGTGTAACGACGCCTAAAATCGTTTGGTTTCTTTTTCTTTTGTGATTTGTACTATTGACTCGTAGTTCTTTTAAAATTGAACAATATTTGATGTGATTTGTTTTATGCTTTCCTTATCTTGTTCTTGTCATCTGGTTACATTCGTCGAGTTAATGGACGGATGTGTTGGTATTAAGTTCAGCTGAGTGGTGAAGAAATTTATCAACTTTTGGGCACTTTTCGAGGGAATTTTTTGGTCTAGGCGTTTTCTCTTTCTTCAGGGTTTAGCCTGAATGGTTGGCGTGGTTAATCTATTGCAGAGGTGCATGAGCACGGCCGTGTGCAGTTTGTGACTGCGTTCTTAAAGCAGAATTGATCCAAGGCGCTACTGAAGTTGCAGGTGGTTAATATAAATGGATGTGAGGACGGAAAAGAATATTAGGTACCCAGAAAGATACTATGGCAATAGTTCCTTTCGCACTGTTGGGGAATCAGAGGGTTCTGGTAGCTCCGGAAGAATTGATCCTGAAATTGCCGCTTCAGAAGTTTCTAGTACCCCAATGAGGAGATGTATCAGTTTTAGCTCTGATAATCGTGAAGCTCTGAGAGTTCCAACGCAGGTTCTTCCCTTGACAAACCTGTTGCAGTCTGAGAGGATGGAGTTGGTTTACAGGTTGAAAAAAGAACTCGAACAGGTTCAGACCCTCAGTAAGAAAGTACAATTGCTTAGAACAAATAGTTTTACAGTATCATCTTCAAGTGATATTCTTAGCTGTAGCAATGTACGCAATGGGCCATCAGCTGAAAACATTCGAAACACCTCGAATTTGACTTCAGGGCAACGTAAGAAATCTAATGTTCCAAGTCATAAGAAAGGGCAAGATGGCAGTCGGGTTGCTACTGCTATGTGTAGAGTTGAATCTACAGTGCAAGCATCTGTACCCAACACCACAAACACTACTTCAGCAATTTTGATGAAACAGTGTGAACAACTTTTGAAAAGGGTGATGTCACACCAGTATGCCTGGGTATTTAATATTCCTGTTGATGTAGTGAAGTTAAACCTCCCTGATTATTACACAATTATTAAGCATCCAATGGATTTGGGGACGGTAAAGAACAAGTTATCTTCTGGAGCATACTCAAGCCCGTTGGAATTTCTTGCTGACGTGAAGCTTACTTTCACCAATGCAATGACTTACAACCCACCTGGAAATGATGTGCACGTTATGGCTGATATTCTCAATACATTTTTTGACATGAGATGGAAAGCTATTGAGAAGAAACTGCCAAAAACTAATGGTCATGCATTGCCAACTAAATCTAGACCTCGAGAAGATGTTGAGTCCGTTAGGCACATGCCTCAAAAAAAGATGAAAGTTGCTTCTATGTCTGAAGTTACACCCATGCCCACCAAGCATGTAATGACGGACGAAGAAAAGCTAAATCTGGGGAGAGAGTTGGAGTCGTTGTTAGGAGAAATGCCGCTGCATATAATTGATTTCTTGAGAGAGCATAGCTCTGGTGGAAGGGAATGTGGGGAAGATGAAATTGAGATTGATATCGATGATCTCAGTGATGATACACTTTTCAAATTGCGGAAGCTTCTAGACGATCATTTTCAGGAGAAACAAAAGAAAAATGCTAGTGTTGAACCTTGTGTCATAGAGGTATTAATTCCAATTCAACAATTGTGTTCTATTGCAATCTTTTTTATGTATTTGACTGCTTTTGTTTTAAATTATTTATTGCTTTCAGTTGCAGATGTTGAATGACTCTGGAGTAAGCAACTCATCAATGCAACCATCTAAAGGTCTTAGGCATACCTTGATTCACAATGGATGCTAGCAACCTGATTTTCCTATAGTTATTTACTTTATTTTCCTTCCCATTGCAATTTTAGGAAGTGGGCAAATTGATGAGGATGTGAACATAGGTGGCCATGAAGCTCCTGTTTCAAGCTGTGCTCCTATGGAGATAGAGAAGGATGCTGCTATCCATATAAACAGCAAATGCATCAGCTCTAGAAATTCGAAGGGTTAGTCAAATTTCTCAGTTTTTTTATCTTTTATAGGTACCTCTGTTGTGTGGGATGTTGTCATTGCCATTTTGGAAGATATAGAACTTTTAGCTGTAGTGCCTATTATAGCTATAATGACCACTGAAGGAATTCTGTAATTATAGTGCAGCTATTATAGCTATTACAGCCAAAACATATTTATCTTGCATGGGTTGATAAATGAGCAACATTTGTTGTTTATCATCATTTAATGTGCAACCTTTTAGTTACCTGACCTACTTCATTGCCAATCTCGTGTATCATCAGCAGATTCAGATTCTTCTACCTCCGAAAATGATTCTGAGTGTGATAAAGCTCCAGTTGCAGTGCACGATCAGGTATTGATTAGTAATTTATTGTCAAATGGTTGGCCTCTGGCCAATTTGTATACTTGCTTTGCTTGTACTGTTTAATGGGCGTCACTGCGTCAGATAGTGGTTGATTTATTTTCTAACAGACTACCATCAACAGGTTCCAGAAATCATTGGCTCTGAAGGTCTGTTAATTGAAACTACAACTTCAGATGAACCTCTCGAAAGAAATCGTGGGTGTTCCTTTTACCATTCTTCACTGTTCCATACTTAAAGAAATTGGATTATACCTATCTTTAGCTTCATGACACATAAACAACTCTGTGCTGGCTGAACAAGTATTAAATATGAACTTTTAGTTTTCTGTTTTAATTTATATTCTGCTGAGAGCAGCATTAGTATACACAATATGGGTGGTGATATTCCTGAAACATACATAATACTGAATTTGGCAGTGTATTTTGCGCAAGTAGATTCATGTTATGAATTTTCTAAATTGTAGAAATCTATGTGTTTTCATTATGATTTCCAGCCTTCTGGAACTAATCTATGAATAGTTTGTTGATGGGTCTTCCCAAGCATAAATGATGTTTTTTCCTCCTGTTGTTCAAAGGAATGGGAAATTGATCGACTCCATTGTAACATTGTCAGAACTAATTCAAGATCCTACCTCCTCCCCTCCCCCACCCCACCCCACCCCCCCTAGTTTAATTCATGGGAACTAGAATATGATTGCGGTCGGACTTGACACTTCCTCTGCTATATCTCAGAAAGAATTGGTGCGATTGTTTTATTAGTGATCGTACTTGTTATGTCTTTAGATGTTAATTCTAAATTTTGTTAGTTGGTTCAATGTTAATTCATTTATAAAATTGATAAGTTGGTTTGGATGTATCTCAAGTATTTTGACATATATGCATAAGCATCATAACCTTAAATAATTTTTTAGCACTATCATTGAAATGTATAAAAATAATATATATTTTTGAAATATATATATTAATTACCGTGTCCATGTCGGTTTTGTATCCTAGATTTTTAGAAATTAGCATGTCAATGCGTTTGTGTCTAGTTTCTTGGTTCATGCTTCTTAGGTTCTTATACACAACTTCCAATTGACTTTTCTCCTCTTTTGATTGTTCAACAAAATTTGTGTACTTCAGACGATGTTTAGTATTAGGCATGTTCATTTCCTCAGTGGGATTGACTTATTTTTTTCTTTATCAGAAATGAGAAAGGAGAAAACTGGCATGAGTGTGGCCCTTTATTGATACATGTGTGTGTATGCTTCACGATTTAAATCTTAATGACTGTCTTCAAATAGTTTTTTCATTTTCTTAAACCTGTTTTCTGAATTTTTTTTGTTTCTATTATTATTGGTCATTGATTCCGATTGTTGAAGCATTTGTTTTGTCCACTCATGCTCTTTAGTGACTTTCTACAGAATCTGAAGGTGGCTACGAACAAATGGAAGAGACTTCCCATAAGCCTAGTTCTACTGAGTCAGATTGCAATCAGGATGGTGAGCTTAACATAGAACTTTTACCCTTCTTCTGAGTACATTCCAATTAATTATTTTTATCAACATTGCAGGTAATCATACTGCATCTGAGAAGCCGGTCTCCCCTGAGAGGCTTTACAGGGCTGCTCTTCTAAAAAATCGATTTGCTGACACAATTTTAAGAGCTAAAGAAAAGACGATGACACAGGTTGGTTCAAAATATGGGCTACTTGTTTAACAGCCTACTACTTTATATGGATTTTGCAATGAGAGATTGCGGTTCTGATCTGGATGGTGTGCATTTTGATCTTGGGCTGAGATCAGGGCGATAAGGATCCTGAAAAGTTGCGACGGGAGAGGGAAGAACTGGAACTGGAGCAGAGGAAAGGTAGCTGGACATACTAGTAAATTTTGATTGGCTTCTTTCTTGTGGTCTAGAATGTATTTTTGCATGTAATTTAATATTTTGCTCTTGTGGTAACAATTTTTATACATGAAATGTAGAAAAAGCGCGACTGCAAGCAGAAGCAAAGGCTGCACAAGATGCGCAAAGACGAGCTGAAGCTGAAGCTGCAGCTGAGGCTAAAAGGAAGAGGGAACTTGAGAGAGAAGCAGCACGACAGGCATTGCTGCAGGTAAATGACAACCAGACCACAAGTGTGGAGAAATGGCCAAAAACTTCCTTAGTCTTTACTCATCTACTTCCATATAATCTATGCAGATGGAGAAAACTGTAATAATAGATGAGAACTCTCAGTTCCTTGAAGACTTGGAGATGCTTAGAGCTGCTCCTACTGAGCAGCTGCCGAGCTCTGTAGATGAGACGAGCCCTGATCACTCGCAAGATGGCCTGGGCAGTTTCAAATTTATAGGGAGCAATCCCTTGGAACAACTAGGCTTGTTCATGAAAGCAGACGAAGAGGACGAGGAGAACGAGCCGAATTACATTTCTAACTCTATAAAAGATGTGGAAGAGGGAGAAATTGATTAGATATAAGTGTTGTGGTGTTGAATTGATGATAGAATTGATCAAGGCAATGAATGGAATGTCCTTTTGACAGAGGAAGAAATTTCTGGGCCTCCTGATCATTTAGTATTTATTTAGGTAAAATAGGATAGAGGAGCAGTGTTTCTGATGTTACTTACAAAATAGAAGCATAATTTTGGAGGGCTTCTGATGATGAGGGGGTGATTTGAAAATTAGTTTGTGAAAGTATTCCTCCCCTTCCCTTTTGTCAGTATTTGTCTGTGTTGTACATTGTGATACTTAAAACATGAAAATGGGTCTGAAAACAGGATTTAGTATTAGCACTACATTTTCTACTCCTCTAGATTGTTCTTCATTATGTCCTAGTTAAATTACAAATATCTCATTTGTTTAAATCTCTCTATTTTGTTTTTGTTTAATTTTTGTTTATATACTTTCAATTTCTCTTCATTTTAGTCTAGGTTCGTTTATTTTTATATCATTTATGATTAGAATTTTTACATGGTGTTTCGCCTATAAATTTACTGAAATGTAGTCTACACAATTTTATAAATAGAGATTAAAAGGGTCGTTTTTTAAAAGTATAGGGATTAAAATAAATAAAATTGAGAGTTCAAAAGATTTTACATTTTGTAAGTACGAGATCAAAATGATGGAAGTCAAAATATGAATATACTTTTTCATAATGTTTTGAGAGTTTTTTCAATTTAGTTCTAATGGTTAAAAACCTTATCTTTTAACACTTTTCAATTATATCTTCATTGCTAGTACATTGTTAAGAATTTTAAAATGTCTAATTTCTCTGGAGTATCATCCATATGAGTTTATGATTAACAAATTCTATTGTTCGCGTGAGAGTAAAATTTAAGAAAATGTAAAAACATAAAATACTAAATTGAAATTTTTAAAATTAAATTAAAGAAATGCCAAGACACTAAGAAATTTAGTCTTGCATTCTTAATGTATGTAATTTTTTATTTTTCTGTTTTGAGTTCAACAATACAATGGCGGAAATTATATTCAGGTTGACTACAAAAAGTTATGTTTTTGTTATTTTATAAATATTTATTTTGGTATTTTATCGGTTGGGTTGAGTTGTGTTTAATGGAAGTTGTAGTAAGGTTACCTAGTTTTGAATATTATTCAATGCATATGGTTAGAGGTTAGAAGCATAAGTTGATTTGAAAGGTGACCTACTATAACCTACCTTCATAAATGGAAATTAACATTCACTCACACATTACCTTTGAATTATGCCATTGCAAAACCTACCCTTTTTACTTTTCCAATTTTCCCTCCACTTTATTGGATCACCAAATCCAACCTCTTTTCATGTTTTTTTTATATAAGAAATAGCACAAAAAAAAAGTTTAAATAGATGAAGAAATTGGAGTAAATATTGGGAAATATACGTATAAACAATTAAGTCGAAAGACATATATCTCACTCTCGAGAGAGATTACAAATTCTTTGTAAAAAACGAAGACATAGTACCAATTCCATCTCTAATCTTTGAGAAAATCGGAGTTTTTTTTCTACCGTGACCTCTTTAATTCTCAAAATTTCAGTCGCTTCATCCTTGCCATTATCATGTATGTAAATATTGACTGTATAGGCATATTGGAAACCGTTTGACAAGTCAAGGAATCCTGAAATCCGCTCCTTAGTTATAACGTTCCAGAGTCACGCAGAACAGACACTAACCATCCGAATATTACTTTACTATTAATTAACTGGACTGACCTCAACATCAAAGGATGAACCTGGTCTGTCTATTTGAGATGTGTATAAGAGACAGGACTTGCACTGACCTCAACATCAAAGGATGAACCTAACGTGTCTATTTGTATGGTATAAACTTTTCTTACTAATAACTCCTGTAACAGACTTTCTCTTGACTTCTCCTCTTGAGGGCATAAAAACTTAGCTGAAATATTGTATAGTTTAAACTGCTTTATTGGAGTTTGAGTTCAAAGCTTCATTGCTAAGAATATCTCTTTTTGGCAAAATATTATTGAAAGAGCAAATGAAGAATATTTCCCTTTTGGCTAAATATTTTTAAGGAGAGATGTAGGAAAAAGTAGGTAAGAAGCTTGAATTAGTTTTGTAGGAGAGATATAGGTACAACTTTTATCTAATGAATCTAATACACAATTAATTGTTTTTTTAACTTCTATTAATTAAATAAATAAATATATTCGCGCCCATCCTGACTTAGTAGATAAGAAATCAATTAATTTTCATACGAATAAAGGTTCGATCTCCTACTTTGTATTTGTTGAACTAAAAATTGTCTCTTTTGATATTGTTTATGGGTCATCAAGAACTGTGCACGGGATACTTAGAAGAGTAATGTATTTTAACAATGTTTTTATATCTTAATAATTGATAAAGAAAACATTGGATTGTAAATATTGCTAACAATGGACATTTATGAAATAATGACAGTGAAATAGTTTTTAGGAAGAATTTTTATAAAACTTAAGTCGATTTGTTAGATATAAAATTAAAAGTCTAAATACCTGTTAGAAACTTCTTTTAGGAATATTTGAGCTCCTATTATAAATTTTTAATATTAAAATGATTGAATAAACTCCATTTAAAAAAAAATTAAACCGTAATATAAATTTAATAGGTATTTTTTAAAAAAATATCACAGGCTCTTCATTTTTTTTTTCCAAATATAACACAAGTTTGAATATTGTTAGCACATAGTTTTATATTATATTATATTTGACTTTGATTTATTTGTAAAATTTCAAACTTTATGCTATATTTGAAGATGAATCAATTGAATAAATGGTAAAATAAAAATATGTTAAATCGAGAATAGTTCAATAAATGTTAAATTTCATCAAATAGAACCATACACTATGTAAGTTTTACCATTTTTACTTTCTATTCAATTTCTTTTAACTCACCCACTATTTTTAACAAATAATAATAATAATAATAATAATAATAATAATAATAATAATAATAATAATAATAATGTAAAAGACTCCAAAAACTCATTAATTTAATAAAAGTCAAACTTTGTAAAAAATTAAGTTAGATTAATAGACCAAACCTACCATTAAATAACTCTGCCAAAACTTAAAATTAAAAAAAAAAAACTCTAATACTGTTTTGTTTGAATGTCATCTAATTTTATACCAAATACATATTCTATAATTAATTGGACGGATGTCAAAAACCTTTTTCACTCCTAAAAAATAACAAGACAAGACGAGCATAACTCAACTTAGCAGTTAAGACATCTCGCTCCTTCTCTAGAGGTGGAATAATGAATCTTCAGTCCCTACATTTGTTGTACTAAAAAAAGGTCAATTTTTTCAATGGCGTAAGAATATAAACTTTCTACATATGACCGTCACAAATTGAATTATAATCAAATTTTTTGGATCGTTAACCAACCTTAATAGTCCATAATTATAGAATTATAATAATTTTGGATTCACCTCGAATTTAAGTCTATTGGAAGAGCGAAGAGTAATTACAAATTATAAAAGATTATGTTGTTTGGTTGGTTTGATCACTACCTACGAATCATTAATTAATGAGAATGACAACTTAATCTAGGTCCAAACTATATATTTCAAAATGTATAATTTCGAACTATTCTACTCACTCTTTCGAATCAATACTAAAATTAATATCTACCATCATTCAAATCAATAACTATACCAACATTAAAATTTAACTAGAAATTGATAATACATTTTTTTTCTTCCTGAGATCAATCAAGTCATGAAAAACATTTCGATTTATTTATCTCTTTTTTGAGACAAAAGTTTTTGTTAAAAATTTATCATTTTCCTTTTTTTTTTTTTGGTAAGATATTATTCTCAATCTCAGCTATCCTATCATATCTTTCAATATTGGAAATATCTTCATAATTTTGGGAACATACAATTCAATGGCTCTTTATTAGAGATTTTGTAGAACCCAAAAAAAAAAAGTTCCAATCTTTGTTTATTTATTCAAAATTTCTTTTGGGTTTCTCTCCAATCAAAAAATTCCATTTCGTTTCTCTTTGATTTTCCTTACAAAATCCCCAAATCCAATCCCTTCTTCTTCCTCCGATCAATCGCCGGCGAAGTTCATCCTCCTCCGATTACGTCCACCGGCCGCCGACGGGTTTCAATGGAAACCCATCTGAATCCTCTCCCTCTCTTCTTTTCAATCTTCTTGTCGATCTATCTGGTCGCGTATTTCCTCATCTTCCGTAATTGGAGCCCTAAGATCCGGCCGGAAGCTTCCAGCTGCGCAATCTCCTTCGCCCACGGCACGCCCGCCGTGTTCTTAGCCTCCGGCGCCATTCTCGCCGACGCCGCCCGCGGTTTCGCTTCCGCCAACACCGATCTCCAGAACTCCGTCCTCGATTACAGCATCGCTTACTTTCTCATGGATCTGTTGCACTACCTCATCTTCTTCCCCGGAGATTTGCTCTTCATCGCTCATCATTTGGTCACTCTCTTCGTCTTCGTCACTTGCCGCTACGTCGTCTCCCATGGCGCCTACGCGATTCTCGTCCTTCTCATTCTCGCCGAGGTCACCAGCTTTTGCCAGAACACCTGGACTCTCGCCAGAGCCCGGAGAGGCGACGCCGAGTTCGCCGCTAGGGTTTACAATATTCTGTCTCCTCCTTTTTATGTGCTGTATTCGATTGTCAGGGGATTTGTTGGGCCCTATTTCCTCTACAAGATGGGAGAGTTCTACGCCAATGGCGGAGCTGAGAGCGTGATCCCTAAATGGGTTTGGATGTCTTGGATTTTTGTTGTTGCGACTGCCATTTCTGTTAGCATTTTGTGGATTTCAAATTTATGGGTTGAGTTGTTCAGAGAAAGAAGCAGCAGTGAGTTGGAGAAGAAGAAGACGAGGTAGGAAGCAAAATTGTGGTTTTGTTTTACCTTCTCTTATTGTAGTTAGATTCAGTTATCATTCACAGAAGGAAGAAGAGGAAGAGGAAGAAGAAGAAGAAGAAGAAGAAGAAGAAGAAGAAGAGGTAGGAAGCAATTGGGTTTCACCTTCTCTTTATTGTAGTTGGATTCAATTATCATTCACATGGGGAAAACGGGTATCAAAATTTCTCACTTTTTCTTGGTCTGCAACAATGGAGAAGAGGAGTTTTGTGGTCAGTAATGTTTGTTGTTTCAAACCCTCATCTGGAAATAAGATGCTCTATATTCTTCTTCTTCAATGAGTAATTTATTGTTCTTCTCCATGTAGCTCTTTTATTATATATACATATATTGTGAATTCTTGTGTTATTTTAGTATTAAATGATTTTGACACATTTATTTAATAGTTGTTCATGATTCTCTGACTGTTCTGCTGAGCTACAACTAGGCAAAATAATGACAAAATGAAGGGAGAATTTTGTGGAATGTTGGATAATTCTGTTGCCCATCTGTTTTTATTATGCATCTGATGAACAAGAGAGAATTGAAGCTAAGCAAATAGAACCAAAATTGAGTTTCATTGATTGTGGAAAATGGTAAAAAAAATTTGCAACTGTACTCTGGAAGTGGAAATGCAGAAGCAAACATGGAAGTTGCTGTATTTGCAAAGACACTGAACAGATAATTTGACAGTCTAAATAAAACCCTCTCTAAGATAGTTTGAATCTCTTAGATTCTAGAGATCTTCAAATAAAAGTGGCAACTTTATCATACTTATGGACACTATCATCATCTGCTTCTTTGTATTTGGAGGATAATTTATGAGTAGAATTTGTAGTGCTTGGCTTGAAGTATGATGTTTCTCAGACCGCCAATAGGTGATATAACGGTTAGAAGCACTCCGAATACGATGCATATCTGAAACCGAAGATGAGCTGAGGATGTTAGAATCACTTGAATGTGAAAGAAGTTTATAATAAAGAAACTGTCAGATCAGAGCAAATGAAAGGCATATTATTGTGTGAGAAGAACATTACCCAGTTAGTCCACCAAGATAAACCGAACCTTTTGGGTTTGTAAATGACAAGCCAAATAATACAGGGAAGCTGAGAAAGCAAAATGAAACGAGAAGGTTAAGTAGCTAGTATTGTAATTTCTGCAGGGAAAATATATAGATAGTATTTTTTTGCTGTTGAGGAAGTTTGGGACTGAGATCCTCGGCACGAGAGGAGAGAAAAGAAGACGATCACTTACAAAATATGTTGTAGGAGCAAAGGCAAATCCTCCAAAGAATCCAAGTAAACCACCAAAGAAAGGGAAGGTAATGCCAATGAACATTGTGAGTGCTGCAGTAAATCAAAAACATAAAACCATTACAACTATTTAGCCATGTTTGATAGGAAGGAAATCAGTATAAATTTACTTTACTTACCGACATAGGTGTTACGAGCGATAAATCGAAGCATAAAACTAGGCTTGAAACGCAATTTCTTCACTAATACAGTTTCTATCATGTCAAACACTGGCATTGCATATATCTGCAGTCATGCAAACATGTATGTTTCAGTTTTGGTTAATTATGTCAAAGTCGAACGGTTGTTCGGGACAGATTGTAGAAGATGATTAAGAACATTACCTGGTAACTTCCTATAACATGGATGACAACAAACATGTTAGCCATTGCAATAAGCCATGCAGGTTTCTCTAGTGAGAGCAGAATGTTTTCTTTGACAGAATTTCCAAACACCCAGTACCCAATCAAAGCCACAGGGAAGTAGCACAAAGCAACAACTATATAGGCAACGATGACTCCTTTCCACATGGGTCCTTTAGAGGGCTTTTCGGGTGTCGATGGGATCGTTGCTTGGATCTCGAGCACCACGTTGTGCCCTGCATATGCAAAAGCTACATCTCCCAAAGCATTTAAGAAGTTAAATATTGTCCCTGGTGTGGTAGTAGCTTTGTATCCATAATCCACATCTGGCTGAACACCCTTTGCAACAGAAGTTGTCCAAGCAATCGTCGAGTAACTGCAAATCGAGTACAAATATCAGCATGAAGTTCGATTCTCTTCTATGAAAATCAAAAACCAGAAAGGGCTAGATAAGATTGACAAAGTATTCATACGTCAAAGACATAACAGCTGCAGCCAAAGAGACACCAGAGATGGAGTTGAAGTTGGGGAGGTGGGAGAGTACAAAGTGAACCGAGGCGAAGATCATGATGAAGTAAGTTAATTTGATGCTCTTGCAGCTCGGGCAGACGAGGTCGTGGAATTTCTTCAGCGATTGCCCTCCGGTGACCATATAAACTATGTTGGTACCAACTTCAACAATAAGTTGCTGAGGAACCACAATATAGAGGCCTAGTTTTTCACCAAACGCATGTTGTCCAAGCTCATGGTATCTATCAAACCGCTTCCCAGGTACCATTTCATGCATCTCCACCATTTGCCATAATGTGTATAAAGTGATGACCCATGACAATACTAACACAGCCACCCCAGGACCCCTGCAAATTCGAGTTCAAATTCATTGGATTCATGTCGATCAAAGTTCTAAGTACGTCACGTTCGATACTATGAAATATGCTATGCATTTCGTTAAAGTTTGCATAATATGGGTTTATCAACGTCCGAGGTTCAAAGTGAAAAGGTAAAGGATTTGATTGGATGGAATAGGTTCCAATCACAAGGTGGCTAGCTGCACTAACCATGTCACCTGAACACTCGTAAAGATAGATAAAAATGAAAATATTACCATCCGAGGCTTGCCATGGCAGATGGAAGACTGAGGACACCAGCACCAACCATGGCGGTGACATTGTGGAAGGCAGAATACCACCATTTTGCATTCCTTGAAGAAGTAATTGGAAGCCAATCGTCTATTGCCTTTTGTTCCTTCGTTTTTGGTCCATTGTCCTATCAATCACCCAAAAGAGAGATAGAACACAATTCAATGGAGAACATAAAAGGTGAAGCAACCAAAAAGCAAACTCAGAAAACTCAAATCAACCAAAAAGCAAACTCAGAAAACTCAAATTAAAGTAATATGATTAAACCATGATGTGGGTCACTTTTGTGCTCCAAAAACTTTAGAGAAACAGACGAAAGACTCTGAGAAAAAGGGTTTTATTTGTTGTGTTTGATGATTCAAAATTTCCCACAAAGACTCAAAAATCTTTTTGGGAATCGGACCCACAGGCCATTTGGCAAAGTCCCAAGAGCTCAATAATGCCAATTCAGCCATTATCACAAATTCAAACATGTGGACTAATGGCCGCAAAGTGACACCATCCATCAAAGTCAAAGTCCACAATTTGCCAGTTCTTTCGCACCAAAGAAAAAATAAAAAAATCATCAAGAAGAGAAAAAGGAAACAATCAAGATCTCATCCAATTTTACAGTCGAGTCCAAAATCTACGATTAAAAAAAGGAGATCAAGAAGAGACACGGTTCAGAGCTGTTGCTGTTAACAACCAAACAAAAAGAAAAAGGGGAGCAAAAATATCAATCTAATCTGGTAGGGTTCAAACTTATGAATTAGAAATCAGATTCAGCATCAATTGAAGAAGATTGATACAATGGGGTTAGGAAACGAAACCAAATTCGTTAGAAAAAATGACTAGATCGTTTGAATTCAAATGGGGTTCAGAAATCGAATTCAATCGAAGAAGAAGAAATTAACCAGAACAGAGATTGATTCAATGGCGATATTACCACGAATTTTCCCCAATACAAGAAAACAAAATCAGAAACACTCAACGATTTTCAGTTACAGAGAGAGTGAGAGATACAAACGTTGAGTGGAGGTCCTTCAGTTCCCATGAAGTTGCTGCGAAGAAGAAGAAGAATACACAGAACTGGATAAAAAAAAAAAAAGAAATCTGCTGCAACTGAGAAATAGGCACAGAAAGAGACGGCAATGGGGGGCGCTGAATTTAAAGGAAAAAAATGGGGGATGAGAGAGAAAGTTTGAATGTGAAGGATCACAAATTCTTTGAATTTTCAAACATATTCGGCCATCACAGATTCACAATTTGCTCAAATTCAATTTGACCACACATTATCATCTTCTTCTCCTTCTTCCCTTGGGAACCTTAATAGAAATTTCCTTTCACATTAATAATTCAGTTTCCGCAAGTCAATCCCCAGTGAAAAATATCAACTCTTTTCACAAATTTACAATTTTACCGTCCCATTTTTTCATTTTAATCCGTCTGTTTTTAAAATTTCTATTCTCGCTCGTGTGATGAATCAGATCTGGCATGGTTATTGATTAGAGTGAATGAATTTGTCTTTTTTTTTTCCTTAATTTCTCTTCTGATTTAAAATTGTGGTGTAAATTGTAACAGTCATGGAATAGATAGAAATAAATTTGTTTGAAAATTAAATCTTATTGAAACTGTCCATATTCAGTTCATTCTTCGAAATCAAATCAGGTCTAGTATATGATTTCAACTTTGTTTATTTTAGTCCATGAACTTTTAAAATTTTTGTCTCTGTCTCTATATTTAAAAGTTACTATTTTGATCTCTATTTGAAAAAGTTTAGCACAAATTTTTATACAACCGAAACCTATAATTCAAAGTTAGGGCTACCTTTCAATAAATTTAAAAAGAAAATGAAGTGATTTAAGCAAAGATTAAAATAGATAAACACTAACCATAATGAAAAAAACTAAATGTACAACGGATAAAAATAATATTTAACCTTTTTTTTTTTCCAGTTAGTAGAATTTCTTTTAGATATGAATATTTTTATTTATTGGATAGATAGGTAAATCTTATCAAATTTTCGAGTCAACAAAAATATGGACACCATAAGTCGGTAGGAAGATCTATGAAAATATTTTTTCAAAAAAAAAAAATTAATTTTTTTAGTTTGAAATCGGGTAGGGATTTAAACATCCTATTTTTTAGTAGAGATAATATACCTTAATCAAACTGCTAAGAAAATAAATGCTTGTTTTATTTAAAAAATATATTTGAATAAAGCTATAAGTTCAAATATCTAATATCAAGTGATGGGATACACCTCAAATTTTATAATCTCATTCTTTACTATGTTATTTCTATTTCTTATTCGGTGGGTCTCACATTTTCTCTATTTTTTATGGATCTCATCCATAGATTTTTAATTAATTGTTTGGTTTTTATTATTCCTTTTTTATTTATACTACAAATATTTTTTCTAATAAAAGTTTTATACAACTTTTATTAAGTTTATTATGAAATATTATAAATTTAATTTTAATGTGTTATTATTAATTAATATCAATAAATTTTATTAAAATAGAAATCATTATTATTACATATTAGAACAAAAATTTTATATTAAATATTGGTTCTTCTAATAAAAGAAATTACTTTAATTGATGTAATTTTATTTTAATTATTTATTATTTGTTAATTATAAAAAAATATATAATATCAATAAAATAGTAATTAAAATCAAACGTTAATATTATTTTAATTTAAAAAAATTAGCATAATAATATATTTGTAATTAGCTAATGTAATTTTGTTTTAATTATTTATTATTTGTTAATAACTTAATATTAAATAAACTATTATAAAAAAATATACAATATCAATAAAATAGTAATTAAAAATTACACTTTAATATTATTTTAATTAAAAAATTAATATAATAATATATTTGTATTTAACTAGAAAAAAAAAAGTCAGTAATTCACAACAACATTTTTTCGACCGTTTTGCAAATTTACCGTAAATTTCGTGAGAGTGGCACTTTGCTTCTTCCAACACGTGGCAGGGCCAGATTATATCCTTCTTTTTAATTTGCCACTAAACATATTTTCAAATCGTATTTTAAATTAATTGAATCTTATCAATTAAGTCATCGCTAAAACTATAAATTAATATATGTGGTAGAAAGATTTCAAATATTTATAATTTTTAGTTGAAGAAAATGAGAAAACAAACGTAATTACGTCAATTTTAATTAGTAATTGAAAATAACAAAATAAACATAATTACGTCAATTTATAATTAGTAATTTAAAATGAGAAAATAACATAATTACGTAAATCACAGCTTTTAAAGTCTATTGACTGATTAATTTAGGAATTAGGTGTGTCAAAAACTACGTTCAGCTGTGAATATTTTAAAACAAAGCTGCCAATCAGAAAACCATCTCTCAAGCAAAAATATAGAATTTTAAATAAAATTTTGTTCTTTTAATTTTACATTTTTCAATCTCGTGGTTTTTTTTTTTTTGTTATACTATAATATTGTTCGCTTCAAGAGGGAGCTTTCAAACTAATCTTAACATAAACCAACCGATTAAAATATGATTGCAGGCTTATATCCCTAAAAAAAAGTGAAATTTTCTTTTGATTACTTAAAATAATATTTTTTAAAAGGATCAAAGTGATTTCAAAAGTTTTAAAAATTCTAAAATGCTTATGAAAGAAGTCTTTAATTAGTGCTTTTTCTAAAAGTACTCGTAGAAAAGTATTTCACTTCAAAGCACTTCTTAAAAACTATCCTAAATTAATGAAGTTCATCGTTATTTTGATTTTGAACTTTATTAAAATATTTTGAGAGATTGTAGTGGTTGGAAATTGAGATCCTTCTCATTTTTTTACTTTACGTGGAACTTATGTTCACATTCCCAACAATTTTTGTAACAATTTCTTTTATAATTCAAATACACAAGTCATACAAACTTACCGATCCATAGAATCTAAATATCCTAACCCATTGAATTCAAATAGAAATTTACGTAAATTCAAGTGTTCTAACTCGTCAGACTATTATTAGAACTATGGCTCAAACGTCCGTCTCTAGATCGGACAAGATGATGTTTGTAGATTTATTTTAATATTTCTTTAAAAATGAATAAAAGTTGAAAGCATGATCAGGATTTAGAGACTAGAGGATTAAAATACTATTTTTTTAAACTTTTATTTTAATAATTTTGAAAACTTAAATGATTAATTTAGAAAAAAAATAATGAATGACTCAATTCCTTGAAGTTACAACTATTGACTTGTAGACTCGTATAAATCCAAAATAATTTATGACGCCATGCTATAAAATTAATAAATAAATAGTCGATTTTAATACTTGTTATTTCCATACCAAACTAACCGAGTCCGAAAGATGTGTGTGTGTATGTATGTATGTATATTTTYTTTTAGTATTCCAAAGAAGTAATTGATTGAGCAGTTGACAGATGATCCAGGGATTTCGGTTCCGGGGGAACTTTTTATCTTCGGATTTGAAAAAGAATTAGCAAACCCCATCTTTAACGTTTGAACCATGATATGAAATGAGTTCCATAAAACAAGCATAAATCCAATTAAAAAAAATAATTGTTCTTAAAATATTAAAAAAATGGTACTTTTAAGTAGTAATAAATATTTTTTCCCAAGATATTAGTTATTTTAATTTTTGCCGAATGCATCGGTTCTTACTTGTTTGAAAATTAAATCTATTATCGAGATGTATCAGAAAAGTCTTATGAAGTGTTATGACAAGACTTGACTTTTGCCGACCACACTTAGATGTTCAAATGATTTTGATTCGATATTATCAAATCACGCGTGTACTTTGTTGGGATAATGGAGCCAAAACAGAAAACTCGTGCCCTATGAAGAAAATGATTTTCAACACTATAATCAATTCCTACAAAAAGTAAGATATTATTGTCTTATAAGCATTACAATATTGTATTAAGGTTTCATTTGTACAGAATTCAAATAAAAGAGACTTGTTGAAAAAGAGTCTGTATCCCGTGGGTTTAGTGAGCGTTTTTCATTTATGTACCTTAAGTAATTGTGTTAAATATTAGTGAATAATTTTGCTATATCGTTTATTCTTGTGTTTAGAGTTTTTCTTTCTTATTTGCATATTTAAAAGAAAATTATTCAAGTTTATTAATTTCCCAACCTACTTAGGTGTGGGACCGGTTCTCGTATTTATATTTCACGATGATGGACTAGGTTAAAGTCTCGTAACTCTACGTTAAAAATATATGAGGTTATTAGTAAAACGGTGGCTCAAACATCTCAATATCAGATTTATTTTAATATTTTTTAAAACTTAAATGATTAATTTAGAAAAAGATTACGAATGACTCGATTCCTTCAACTAACAACCATTGACTTGTAGACTCGTATAAATCCAAATGGAACGACAACATGCCAAGAAAATTAATAAATAATTAGTCAAATTCTAATACTTATTATTTCCGTATAACAAACTACCCAAGTCCCAAAGTAAAATATTAAAAAAAAAAAAAGCGTTGAAATATCCAATTTAAATAGAGACTTTTTTTCTACGTTTTATTTTTTTCTAATATTGCTATTCATTAGATATATTATCAATTTGGTCATAATGGTCTAATATTTTTTGTTACTCTTAACTACTAAAACTTAACACGTAGGATTCGTTAATTTAGTCAGCCAAATAAAATTATCTGTTCATTGCCACATATATAAAAAAATGTACGATGTATTTAATAAGTAACGACTCGTAATTATAAAGATGATAATTTTTTAAATTTGACCAAATCATAAGTATAAAATTGAAAATTATAAAAGTATAGAGAATAAACTCTTTTTTAACACAATAATTGCACGATGGGGATGGGGATAGATATAGTGAATATTTATCTTTGTATTTTGTAATATAAATAGTGGAAATTCTTAAAACAAATTTTAAATTTGAAACTTTGAAAGGCAGAACTACATCTATATATATATAAAGTTTGATAAATATATTATTTTATGTTATAAATTTATTTCATTTTCGTTAAAATTAAAATAAGTAAAAACATCTATTATAAATTATATAATATTATAAAATAATAATGAAACAAATTGTATAACACATGTTAATAAATTAATTAATAATTTTCTAAATTTAATTAAATAGTTAATTTAGTTTATAAATATATTGTTAAATCCACCTTGAATAATGTTTAAAAAAAAAATTAAGATTCTGACTTTAAAATCTGCTACCAAATACTTATTTTAAAATAATAAAAATATAAAACACAACTATATTATGAGATATAGACTAAAATGTAACACAAGGGATGAAGATATATATAAAAAATTATAATAATTAATTTTAATCTATATATTTATTCATAGACATAAATGTAAAAGTCTAAGTCAACTATTATCAAATAGGATGTGAAAAACTGTGTAAATTCCTATTGTTTTAGAATAATTATAAGGAGAGAAAAGAAATCAAATTAAAAAAATTAATACATTGTTATTTAATAAAAAAAATAGTTTTCTTTTCTTTCTTCTTTTTCCTCCTCTTTCTTTTTTCTTTTTTTGTTAAGATAAATAGTTTTCTCTTCTTTTAAAAAAATCTTTAGTGTTATTGACTAACGAAAGGTGACAGCTAAGACTGGCATTTTTTTTCTTTTTTGTTTCTTTTCGATTTTGTTTTTAGTTTTCTATTTAAAAAAATTATGTTAGTATTTTCATAATTTATTTTGTTTCTACTTTTATTTAAAATGTTTGAAAAATTACAAATAATATAGATAATTTGAGTAAATATTGAGAAACAAACACGTAATCAATTAAGTTGAGGAGCGGGTATCTCGCTCTCTTTAGCGAGATTCAAATCCTCTACCGTGTATATTTCTTTATCAATCACGGGTGGTGCAGTAGGTATTTTTTGGCATGTCTGCTCTAGGATAGAACAATACAAATGAAACGTTGAAAATAGATAAGAGAGTATAAATTATAGGCTGTGTTGGTTTGTTTTGAAAGTAATAGAAAGAGAGATATTTATAGAAAATATAGTAGTAACATATANTTATTGATAAATATCAAAATGTAACAACATAAAATAAAAAAATAAGAATTAAAAATCAAATAATTATGAGATGAGGTTTATGAAAATCTATAAATCTCAATGGCAAAAAAAACAATATCATCCCAACAAACTTCGCAGTTTGTGGAGGGTCAGGTTTTTAATTCATGGTACATTATAAAAATCACCTTAATTAAATTTTAAGGTAAGTTTTCAAATTTAGGGTGGGGGTTTGAACTCGTGACGTTTAAAGATAAATGTCTTAACTACTTGAGCTCAGCTCGATTTGGCAGAGCAGAGACTTCTTAATCGGTGAGCAAATTGATCTAAAAATAATATAAGTTTATAAATATAAAAAGGGTTTAAAATAATATCTGTTTAAAAAGGATAAGATGGGAAGTCTCAAGTCTGCCCACTTTATCAGCAAAATCTGAATTCAACCCCAGCCGAAATAAATAACGGAAAGACTAAATTAGACACCATATCATATAAGATTTTTTTTTTAACATTTTTTTTATCATTATCATTACGATAAAATTAATAGACTTATTAGACACAGTTTGAGTAGACACAACTTTTAAAAGTTTTAATACCAATCCAAATATAGTCAAGTAAATAAGTCATCTATTAGATTTAAATATTCTTTTGGTGCCCGTATTTTCAAATTTGGTCAATGTACTTTTAACTTTTGTTTATTTTAGTTTTTTATCTTTCAAAACATGTTCTTGTTATTTTAAAAATTTACCATTTTATTCTTATTTGTAAAATTTTTATCCATAATGGAAACCTTTTAATACAAAGTAATTACTACATTTTAAGAGATTTAGCGAGTGAAGTGTCATGCTAAAATTTTGATGGAAATAAATGAGATGATGAGAAAATGAGACGATCAAAATGGTCACTTTTGAAGTATTGAGACCACAATTAATTTTTTAAAAGTATAAATATTAAAATGAACAAAAGTTGAAAGTATAATGATAAAAAATGGAGGTTTGAAAATTCCAACTGAAATGAACCAAATCGGAAAGTATATGGATCAAAAGAATATTATCTTCATCTGTTGAATTGAAAAAAAAAAGTTTAATAGAAGCTTAAAATACTAATATTAAACGGATACAATTCTCAAAGATTAGGTACCAAACTTTTAACATTGTATAAAATTAAATAACAAAACAAAATAATTGTGAATTAATACATATAAGAAGATTGATAAGTCGTTGGTAGGAAATTGAGTTGTATGGGACAATTAGTGGGCTCCAAATATGAACAAAAAAGAGACTTCTTTGACTTTTTTGGTTATATTGTTGACTTTCAATTATGAACCCTAGGCTAGTTGAAGGATTGAGATTTTCTCTTTGGATTACCTTTTTATTTATTATAAGAAAGAAAGAAAATTATATTTAAATATTAGGTCAATACCGAATTGCATATTTTAGTTTAAAGGATGAATTGCAAATTTTGGACAATTATTTATATTATAGCTTGGAGATATAAATTTCAAACCTCTAAAAATGTTACTAATTAGAGTTACTAATCTCTAATTAATGTTCAAGTTAATTAAGGCATTGCAAAAATTAGTGTATATCTCCAATAAGAGATTGTGAGTTCGATCCTCCACCTCACATGTTGTACTAAAAAAAAAAGTTTAGCTAATATATTAATAATATTTCTTACCTATATCTTTTTAAGTAGTTTTTAAAAATCATACTCTTATGAATTATCTTTAGATTAAAGTGAAAATGATATATATATATATATATATATATATATATATATATATATATATATATATTCTTAATTTTTAAATATCCACATATTGTGAAAATCAGAAAATCTTAAAAACTTGAATTTCAAATTTTTATATTTTCAACATATCCATATTTCCATGGTTCGATATCGACACGAGAGGTAAATCGACATTTCCATCATAGTACAAAAAAAAAATCGACAAAATATGAAAAATATGAACAAAATCTCACTAATATATACATAATATTAATATTAATTATTTTTAACTTATTTAGAAAATTTTTATTTGTTAATTTAAATAATCTTTTACAATTTTTTAATTTCTCTAACTTTTACATATATCCATCGACATGTTCATCAACATCGACATCTAAAACTTTGGTCCTGCACTAAACAAATTGTATCACAATAGACGTACTGGGTTTTTTTTTTGGGACCATTTTGGAGGGCAACGTCCATGGTTGATATTTAATTGTTTTTGGACAGAACAAGAAAAAGGAGAAAAAAAATCTTTTTTCTCATATCAATGTCAAAACAAAAACATGTTGTGTTGCCAAAGATTTTACTTCCAACCAATTCTTCGTAATTTCATAGATTCTTTCTGTTTCTTTCTATTGGCCTCATATATGCTAGTTGATTATTTTCGAACTCTGCTGCATTTTCATTCATCTTTTTTTGAATGAAAGCTCGGTTTCTCGTCAAGAAAAACAGATTGATTCCAAAAAGTATCACACATTAATTTTAGGACAAGAAAGTTGACTTATCATTATCAACCATGTGGACACAAATACAACCACTTGAAGCATCAACCACACCTAACAATGTTAACTATATGATGCTCATTTTTATATTTATTAAAAAAAAAAAGGTGAGATATAAAATTATCTAGTGGGACATAAAAGTATTCCGTACGCATTCAAAATTTTGACAATTCAAGGTTTCGATGATGAAAAGAATCATCCAAGTTTATGTTCTCATTCAATTAAAGAATTATGGCTTTATGGCTGTTGGGACCCGAAAGATGGTAAACTATGCTTGAGTGGGACGAAGCAGATGAAACTTTGATGGTGGCCCACTGCAATACTGACGTGTGAATCGTGCGTCAGCATCCGTTCTCATTCAACTAAAGAATGTGTAGTAAATCAGAAGTTTTGTGCTTTTTTGACAATAGGATAGTGGCTTACAGATCTAAAATACCTTGTGTCTGTTAAGCTGTTGCAGTTTTGCTTGTTCTTCCTTCCACATGATGCTTTCAGGAGATTGACTCGACTCCTAACTCTCTTTTTTCTGCAGAAGTAAAGGGTCACAACAAGATTGGTTTGTGTTTATAGATTCTATCCACTTGGCGCCGTGCTGCTCGGGTTTTGACCATTCTTGCAGAAACTAACAGAAAGTAGGCATCAGAATAGACTTTCAAGAGAGAAATAATGCAAAAAAGGTGAAAATGTGATAGGCAAGGCAGAGATCAGAGATGAGGCTTGCTAGTTATTGATAATCATTCTACAGTACAAGACTACGACCTTATCGTGTTTCCATGACATGATATCACTAATCCAGCACTCAAAGACTAAGTCGAACGGTCGAAGGTCGTTGCGGGGGTGAGGGTAGGTGTAAAACAAAAAAAAAAAGGACCAAAGTTAATCATATATAATTGTGGGAAGAAAGGAGCTGCATTACATTAACAAAAGCCTATGCTAGATTCTTACATCAATTCTTGGCCTTAATAGAGTTGTTTTCCTTAATACTTGCTCGATTATCCAGTTTAACGAATCGTTTCAGATCCTCGTAGGGAAGGGCTTCGACATTCTTCCTGCGTAATTCACTCAGAGCTGGATGTTTATCGATCAAACGCCACAGCCAATCGGGGTACTCCGAGTCTGCCATAACTTTTGGATCTGCACCTTCCTTAAGAATATTGGCACCAACAACAGTGGAAGACTTGACCTCTTTACTTAGAATTGATGCTTTAGGACCATCAGCAGCCGCACCGCCTTTAGAGCCCTTCTTTTTACCTCCAGCAGCAAATGTTCTCACAGACGTCACTTTGATTGCATCTTTGGCATTGATAATGCTTCTAAATAATCTAGATTGGCTCATAGCCATATTTTCTTCTGCAATACATATACCATTATCATGAAACAGACTATCTATTAATTCCTACTTTAACAGCTTAAACTAAGATCTGATTTAACATAAGTGTTAGAATATGAGATCCTAAGCATATAACTTCAAAATGATAGAACTCTCTTCTATTCCGAAGGCATTACAATGGGCCAAGCAAGAATTAGAGAGCTCCAGTGCCTCTCCCAAACAGTCCTTAAACAAACTGACAGAAATATACCCCGACCTTCTACCATGGGTGTATTTACCGTATTTACAAAATACCCATATAACCCGCTTAAGAAACTAAACTAAGGTCCGCTAGTACCTACTAACAAAATACCCATACGCCCCACGCTCTCATCCTCTCTTTCTCGAATACACTTTCTTCACTGGAGCCTATCACATATTTATGGTTTACTGGTTTACAAGTTTACAAGTTCGGCCACGTGAATCAAACCAATACTCAAGGGTAGACGTAAAGGGGAGTTTTAAGAATCCCTAGCCCAACAACTCAAGTTATGGGGTTTAAAGGAGGAAATCTAAAACGTGTTTTATCTTCAACTAATACCTAAACCATAGAGAAATTTACCCCGATAAATCAAAATTCCAAACTCTAATCGAATTGAAGTCTGATAATATTTAGCAATATGCAACCAAATTATCTTCTCAAATTGGGTGAAGCTGCGACTAAGATAAAAACAAGCATCCAATTTCAAATTACTATATCACATCACTTAATTATCCAATTATAAACCAACCAATTACTGAATTACATCATATTTTAGTAGTCCTGAAAACAAAGGAGCACTTGGAAATAACACAAATTATACTTCAACCAACCCAGACGTACACAATTCAAGTCCGAATTTCATTCCATCACGAAAGAAAGAAAAACAGAAATTGGTAAAGAGCGAGAACCCTATTCCGCAAGGCAAACTGAGATTCAATTCAATGCATACTTAAACAAGAAGATATAAGAATCCAGAATAAGAATAATTCGTATGTTGTGGGAAAACCAACTTTCATTCCAAATATGACAATGAGAGAAATGCATTGATCGTAAAGAAATAAGAAAAAAAAAAGGAATAAGATGACGACGAAGAGGGTGACGATGAAGATACCTAGAGATGACGGGGAAGAAAGCAGTAGTGTTGATGGAGCTTGATTCAGAGAATTCGAGCTTTGTGAGTTCAAAAATGGCAGAAAGGAGAGGAACGGCAGATGGTTTAGGGCTGAATCTGAGGATGAAGGAGGACCAGTGACAATGGAGCTCTAATTGGGCTTTCGGCCTTAGAGGCTCTCTTATATGGGCTATAATAATCTTTTCAATTTAGTCCCACTTGAGTGTCGATTTAGTTTCAATTTGGTCCGCATAATTATCAAAGTTTCAATTTAGTCCCTGTAATTTAATCAAATATAATAAGGTTAGAAAGTATAATTGATTTGTGTACGTTTATTGAAGTAACAATTTAGTTCCTAAACTGAGTTTGTAATGATTAGATCTCATACTTTCAAATTGTTAATAATTTAGTCTTTTCGGTTTAAAATTTGTAACAATTTAGCATGTATTGTGAAAAATTTATAACAATTCAGTCTCTACTAGGAAAGATCTTATCAAAATTTAGTGTCAGCAGTTTGTATCATATGACGATTCAACCTCTGTAATTTATTAATACATTTGACCCCTTGTGAGTCGTAAGAAGCCTTATAAATCTTAACATAAATTTTCACGGTAGATACTAAATTGTTACAAACTTAAACTACATGGACTAAATTGTTACATATTAAAATTAAGAGACTAAATTATTACTAATTTGAAAGTAGAATGATTAAATTATTATAAACGAAAGTTTAGGGACTAAATCATTACAATGAAAGTAAAAAACCAAGAGTATTTCATTACTATTTTGACACGTTTTGGGTAAATGTGACCGTATTGAGGTTTAAGGCTATGTGGTACTTAAAAAAGCTATTTAAAAATAGAAGGAAATAAATGATTTTTTGGACAAATAAAAGATTTTAGGGATAATTTGTGAGGTTTAATTTAACCAAACTATTGGAACCAAATTCAAATTTTAAAACAGATCAAATTGAAAGTAATCTCAAACCAAATAACTAAACTGAAACTCTTAAAATTACTAGGCCAATTAGCGAGTAAAATTTGCACTACTTTTTTAACTTGAAAAAAAAAACTATATATTGCAACAATTGTTAAAATTTAAAGTGAAATTTTGATGTAAAAAATTGATGTCTTACCCAAGGAAAAAATTGAATTCTTTTTTTTTTCCAAATATTTGCATAATTATCCTTTTTAATTGACATCTAATAACAAAGTTGCTGGTTGCTAGGTTCGAATACCATTTCTTTCTACACGAAAGTGGAACAGGCAAATAACTTCTAGGCGGAGTCCCCCGAGGCCAAAATAGTGATTCAGACTTTCAGTGACTAAGTGCACTGAGAAAGTCCACAGCGCCATAATTGTCCTTTCAAATCTAAAAATATTCAATATTTCAAACAAAAAGGAATCATTCAACGAAATAATGCAATCTTACCACATTTGGTTATCAAGAAACACATAAAATATTGTAAACATTCGAGTTGATTTGATTACACCTCGACTAATTTCATAGACCCAAGGAAAAACATCCTATCCTAGTAATCACCTTTTTTACTGTATTTTAAAACCAGAATCAAATCAATATATGAAGATATTTTACAAGCTAAGAGAAACAAACAAACATGTGTCTTAGAAAGATAGGAGAGAAGAAACAAGTGGTTTAAACTTGAATGTAAGCAGAAGGGTAATTAAATAGTTGCACAAAAACCTTAAATCACTAAAAAATTATTCAAATTTACCCCTTTTAACTCTATGCTTTATCATGTATTGACATTGTTGAAACTTGAAAGCCCTTGATTTTCCATCAACTTCTCTATAATGTTCTTCAATGCTGGGGCACTTACCCCACATTCCTGGTCCCCAAAGCATGATCTTCCTTCTTCAGCTGCCTTACAAAGCTGTGGATCCAATGGCACCTTCCCTAGAAATGGCACCCCCATCTCCCTACACATTTTTGCAGCCCCTCCCCCACTGCTATCAAACACTTCACTGCAAGTGATCAAATCTAGCAGCTCCGGCGCCTTCTCCCGGATGTACTCCGCTGCCCATTCCGTTACGTCTGCCTGCTCTCCTGCCTTGTTCGTCTTTAGAAACTTCAGATCCAACAGCGGTTGGCACAAGCCGCTCATGTTTTCTACGACTCCGAGGACTTTGACGCCGACTTTTTTGCAGAAGCTCACCTCTTTGCGCACATCGATGAGAGAAACTTGTTGTGGGGTGGTGACAATTATTGCACCTTCGATTCCGGTAGCCTCGAGGCATTGCACGATTGAAATGTGCTCGTCTGATGTCCCTGGAGGGGCGTCGACGACGAGGAAGTCGAGTTCTCCCCAGTACACGTCCTTTAGAAACTGCTTGATGAGACCGTTTTTTCGAGGGCCTCTCCAAATGACAGCTTCGTCTGGGTTTGGGAGCATGAACCCTATTGACATGACTCCAAGGTTGGACTCTACGTAAACAGGGGACCATCCAAGGTTGCTCTGATGCACATCTTGACCTTCTAGACCAAGCATCTTCGGGATACTTGGGCCACAAATATCGATGTCTAGGAGGCCTACCTGGAAGTCCATGGCTGCTAGTGCAAACGATAGTTGAGCAGAGAACGTGCTCTTTCCGACTCCACCCTTCCCTGATAGAACCAGAATCTTGTGCTTAACAGTTGCCATTCGTTCTGCTATCGCAACCAGGTCTGAAAAGACAAATACGCAGCATTAGAGGTGTGTCGGGAACGGTAAATAAGGATAAACACACAAACAGGTAATATGTTAGAGAGCAAAAGAAAAAAGAAGGAAAAACGGCCTTGGGGCTCGGGTAGAGAAAGCCCCTGCCCACAGAATGACAAAAGGACAAAAGGAGAGTCTTCCAATCGTTAATAATCATGAGCAAGAAGCCTGTAGGAGCAAAAAAAAATTCTTGAAAGAGAGAATAGATTCTACTAATGAATTCTCATAGGATTCAGAAAACCAAACAGGTTTAAACACTCAGTGCTATGCAAGAAAAAAGTTGCTGAACTCGCAAAGGAGACAGATTTGACCTACTATCAGGAACAGAAACCATAAATCATATTCAAAATGACCCGTTCATCAATTCCAAATTTCTTTTTCAGACAAAAAATCAGTCAGGACAGGAGGGAGAATGAAAGATTACATACAAGAAAGGCTATAGATAAACACAGGCCCAAGAGGCAAAAAGGGAGCCAAGATAATAATAAGAAAGGGCTCCAAGTCAAGAATGAAGGAATGTCATCACAAAAATTTGACCCGACGAACCAAACAGAGGCACTTATGGATGCCCAACACAGTTGAAAATTTTCCTATTTCTTTCTATCCAAGTAACTATGATCCGGTTCTAGATAACATGTTAAAATGCAACTAGAGGAAGGGAAAAAATGGCAATTAACTTTCTTCTTCTTTGCCTTTCTCTTGCTAATTTTTAGAGATGGATGAAAAATAAAACCGAAACATAAAACAAACCCTGATACCAAATAAAAATGCAGATGGAAAAATAAAGAATAAAACGGAAAAACCATCACAATTACCTACTAGGGGACAGTAAATGCTTCACAGTTCACAACACCCACCACTGCGCTATATAAACTAAAAACAAACTCAAAGCTTGTAAAAGGTCATAAACTTAGATGTTCTGTTTGGTTTGAGAGAATCGCAATACAAATAAGAGCATATTGGTTTGAGATATTGGTGTGGTGTAGGGGGTTGGGATGTTTAGAGATATCCTCTACTTTCACAAAAATTTAAAGTTTAAAATTAAATCCTATTAAAGTCCCTAAAATTGGTTTATTTCATTTTGGTCCCTAGATGTTAAAACAATCTATTTTAGTCTCTAAACTTTAAAAAAAAATAATCATTCTCGATTTGGTGCCTAAACCTTCTAAATTTTCAAAACAATGACTATTTCATCACCTCATATCCGCTCACCTAATACTTGCATCCAACCTATATAGTTTGAATACATGCTCATGTTAACACATTATACACATAGTTGAAGCCACATTATCAACTTTAAAATACAAAGCAAATACCAGAATGATTGTTTTTAAGTCCAGAATTAAAATACACATTATGAAATTTCCTGGACCAAAATGGAATAAATCTGAAAGTTCAAACATCAAAATAGAATTCAAATTTCAAACCAAAATTTCATAACTTAAAACTCTAGTTGCCTTTTCAAGTTGAAACCAGAGTGGATTGAGCCTCCTCAGTCCCCAAGACTAGTGCCCAATTATTGAAGCAAACAAATACCAATAAGAGGTGCCCCATTCTCATAAAGTGATATCGTTGTTGGCCTCAAAAACCAGCCAAACAGAAAACCAAGCAGCCCCAACAGCTCAGAAGATGTAAGCAGAAACTCATCCAAATCTCAATTGCAAGCAACAGAAAGTAAAACAGAAACAGATTCATAGGGTTTATGGAGAAAGGGGACCTGGGTCAGGGCCTTTGGGAGCAGTAGCACAAATTTCTTGGTTGGGACATCCTTGGCAGGCGTCGGATTTCCCCGCGGACTCCGACTGAGGACCAGGGCAATCTGAAACCCAAAAAGAAAACCCAGGAAAAAAGATCAGCAGAAAACGAAAGAGGGTGCTGGCCAGGTTTAAGCTAAACAATCCACCAATTCGAAGACGACGAACCAGAAGAAGAAGGAAAACCATTACTTTCATTAGCGTTGTCGGGAATTTCGCCGTTGTCCATTAGCTCCGGCAATTTTTCCAGCGCCGACGAGAGGTTTTTTGTTTTGTCAAAGCAGTGGCTTCCCTCGATTTTTCTAGTTGTTCGTCTTTTTCATACGAATGGGTAAAGCGGTTGGAGAAGTAAGAGTCATATTTCGGCCCATTCCATGGCCCTATTCCACATTTGTATGGTTTGATTTTTAAATACTATTTTATTTTGGTAGACTCCCCTCGATTTTTTGTTTTATATTTTCAAAACATCCATTTTTACTTTAATACTTTTTATTTTGTTCATTTTAATTCATAGGTTGAGTTTGGTCGAAATATTAGGAGTGCAATTATTCTGGATCGAAAGATATAAGAAGAAATATGCTCAAGTGCTATAAAAAGGAGTTCATGATCGTAGGTTTTATTCATTCCAATTGAAACACTTTAAGTTTGATATTTGTTTGTGCAGTTGGAGTTGGGGAGAGAAATCTGATTGTAATAAAATTTTCATAGTGAATCTTGGGTTTTTCTCCGATTTGAAGTTTTTCACGTTAATTTTCGTCTTTTCTTTATTGTTCGTCAACTGGTATTAGAGCCCTAAGTTTGTAGTTTATTGAATTTCTAAGTATGTTCAGTAGTTGCAGCATTATCTGAACTTCCACATCAGAAAACATTTTTTTAAACGAACTACACTTCTATGAAATAGTATGGGTTGTTCATTATTGACAAATTTGATTGAAGTGTGGAGCAGATATGTCATTCTTTATGAGTCCAACAAAAATTGAGGTAGAAAAATTTGACAAACGAATCAACTTCGGTTTGACGGTTACAGATAATTTTTTTTCCTTTAATATCATGTCACAAATAGGGGGCGGGACTTGAAGCTATCCCATAAAAAGTATAGATGTCTTAGTTACTGAATTGTGCTCGTGTTGACTTTTATATACTGTATATAATTGCAAGGGATAGTTAATAAGTACAAACGTATTTGTAAACGAAGTTCAAAGTAGTATTTTGCTCACTCATGCAAAACATTAATCTCATTCCTTCCTCGCTTTCGTTTTTCAATGTCAGTGAAAGGCTTAAAGAGCAACCCACAAAATGACAGACTCGCCGGTCAAGCACATCGTTACTTACCACCAATGCATAAGGATGCTGTTTAATAGAATGGAAATCCAAGATACATCAAATCCTCTATAAAAAGTGAACTTTTTACCTTCAAATTGTAGCTTGAAAATGCTGACTTGTGCTATTGTTGCATAGTTAGAAACCTGCTCATGCTATATTGTTCTATTGTTGTCTTAAGTTTTTGCTATATTTTTGTTCTAAAATTTTAAATTTACAAATAAGAGAGAGGAGGGAGTTTTTTCTTCTATTTTTCCTTTTTTACTTTTTTAAACAAACAAACATTTATATAAGTTGTATTAGTTTTCAAAAAACTATGCTTATTTTTCCATAATTTTCTTAATAATTTTTTACATTTCTTAAAAATATATTTAAATCAATAGCTAAATTTAAAAAACAAAAAATAAAATTTTGAAAATGTTTTCAAATAGTGGATAACAAAACCGTATAATATAAGTTTAATTTTTAAAAATAAAAAATCATCAAACATTTTTGTGCGTATAAGTGCTCATAATAACAAGTAATTGAACCAATTCGACTATAACTCAGTAGATAAGATCAATCTCGTGGGCATATCGAAGGAAAATTGTATCATTATTATTATTATTATTATTATTACCCACTGGCTGTAATAAAGCCTTTTAGTATTGTTTTATACACGCCACACTAAATCCTTATTATTTTGATCGATTAAGTTGCAAACTCTCATTCACCCTGTTGCAGGTTGCAGATCAGAGCTTTTTATACCAACTACTACAGAAAGCAAATCAGATTCATACATTCTACAATGTGGGAGGGATCCATATGTAGCCATGGGTTTGAACATAACCAGCTCTTTCCAGTAGCTCGTCGGCCTCGGCTGGACCTCGGCTCCCTGGTTTGTATGGAAGCGACTTCACCTCTCCGTTGTCGATTCTGTGCAGCAATGGCGTGAAGATCTCCCAGGCGGCCTGGAGACAATAATAAAACTGTTGGTGAGCAAGGAGTCATCTACTAATGAAGTAGACGATTCATAATTTGATAATGTGTTAAACGTTACCTTCAGCTCGTCGCGACGAACAAAATGTTGCTGATCACCCCTTATTCTGTGAGAGTGTTTACCGTTGTTAATGAATTTTACTGTGCAAAACGACATGAATGTTACAGAGGAGAAAAGATAGGGCTTACGTGTCGAGGATGAGACGCTCGTATGCCTCTGGGATCGTAACACCCTGGTAACGTTGGCGATATGACAAGTCTAATTCACTCTGCACAGTTGACATTTCTAGTCCAGGTTTCTTGACCTGCAAAAAGCCCACAGTGAATAACATAAGGAACATGACAGATGAACCAGTGTTGTCGTAAGTGTTTACAAGCAAGGGAAGTCGGTATGGAATCGAGATATTGAGATCTGAAAATCTCAAATGGGTTTGTACTATTGAGGAAAAGGCACACATAACAGATTCATGTATTCGACTCCGAATCCAATCAGAATGAAAAGTTCAGGGAGGTAATGTTATGGAGGCAGGAATTTTCAGAAGTTGAGCCACAAACAGAATGTGCTCGTGCAATTGAGCAGTAGAGTAAATATTCTGATTACAAATTAACATTTTCACCAAGCGAAATCAATCAAGGCAGTTGGTACAGAGTCGAGATATCGGGATCAGAAAATTCCAAATGGTATAGGACTATTGAGCAGAAGGCATACGCAACAGATTCATATCTCCACCTCCGACTCCAACCCCCATAAGAATGAAAAGTTCAGGGAGGTATGGACATTAGCATTTTCAGAAGTTAAGCCACAAACAGAAAATGTGCAACTGAATAAATATTCTAATTACAAACTAACATTTTCAACAAGCTGGCAATCAATCACCATCTAATATCTCTACTATATGCCCTTCAAGCATTATGGACCAAATTTTCTAATCACAAAGTTAGTTTCGTACCGTAAGCTTCATGTACATGGCCTCTGAAGGTTGCAAGCGAATGACAAACTCGTTCCTCCCTTGTTTTTTACCTGCATTGTGAACATTTATCAACTTCGAGCAACTAAACAGAAGCACGTTCAATATCAATGGTGTAATTTATTAATTCTACACATTCGTGGTCAAACTTCTAAACATTGAGCACCACACACAAACCACGAGTGAGATTAACCGATATGTTATAGATAAATAATGACACTTTAGACCGGAGCCCTTACATTTGAATATGTCGCCAGGAACATCCTTAAACTGAACTCGAATGTCTGCTTTTCTCGAACTCAGTGCCTTTCCTGCCTTCATTATAAAAGGGACACCTGAGAAAAAATATATGAAAGAAAGCATAGTCACAGTTAACTTCACAAATTAAAACAAATTAATATATGTTTCAAACATCTAGCCCACCTGAAAACTATTTTACTTGTCCTAAAAAATCTTACGTTTAAATACTACTTTCAAAACATTTCCTTACATGACTTTCACTTTTATTTCACTTTTATTCATTTTAGCCATTGTACTTTCAAAACATCCAATTTAGCTCTTGTAGTTTTATAAAGTGACCATTTTAGTACCTTCATTTTTATTTTTATCTCACTTTCTATCACAATTTTGGCATGACACACCTCACTCACTAAATTTATTGAAATGTAACCATAAATTTGTATTAAAAGATTTCCCTTGTGTATAAAATTTATGTGAGTATTTTACAAATAGGAACCAAAATGTTAACTTTTAAAAATACGGAGACCAAAACAAACGTTTTCAAAATACAGGGACTGAAATGAACAAAAGTTGAAAGTTCATGGACTAAAATGAATGTTTTGGAAGTACAAGAACCAAAATTAGCCCAAAATTAACCACTACAGGGACCAAAATAGTATTTAAACCAAAATCTTCATGAGAATGACTACAAGCCAAACTATAAATGAGAGGGAATTAAAACTTTGAATATTACTATCTTACCCTCCCATCTTTCATTATGTATCCTCAACACCACAGTTGCAAAGGTTGGTGTATTTGAGTGATTGGGAACTGTAGGATCATCTCTGTAACCTTCATATTGGCCAAGAACTACCTCTTCATCCTTAATTGGCAGCACTGACTGAAGAACCTGTACCAACATGACCCATGGCATCAGAGGGTAGAAAGAGGAGACTCGAATTCAACAGCACTCTAAAGGAGCTTGAGAAAAATATACATCTTGCAAGATTTTAATGATATCATAAATGCAGATTAAAAATATGGATAGACTTCTTTCAATTAGAATCCTACCTTTACTTTCTCATCTCGGATATGCTCGGGTTTGAGGGAAACAGGTTTCTCCATAGCAACTAAACAAAGAACCTGAGAGGGCAGAAAAATCTTTTAGTAGTGCAGTAATAATCACAATTATAAAAATTTAGGTAGAATATAACATCGTGAGGAATCTAGTCAAAAAATTTAAGCTCATCAAATTGCTGCATTTTCCAACATGACCCGTGTTAAGGAAACAATACAGCATAATGTATTTGGTTTTCAGTTTTCTAGGAACTAAAAATATTCTGAGTCTATATCAACTTCTCACCTGCAATAGATGATTTTGAATGATATCACGAATAATTCTGCAAAAGAGAACTCGAGTCAATGACTTGTTTAGATTAATGAGTTTTCACATATAGAATGACACAGTAGTACATTTAAAATACGCAAGTCAGCGTTCAAGAACATAAAATACCAAATGTTTAGAGGTTTAGCTTGATTAGTCGTAAATCAAAGATCGTACCCATATTCATCAAAATATCCACCACGGCCTTCAGTGCCAAAATCCTCCCTGAACACAATCTACGAGGGAAACAAAATGGAAGCAGAAGGAAAAACAAGGATTAGTACATCACTTAAAAACCATTTAACCATAGTCGGAACTTAAAATCAATTATACATACTTTGGCAGCGTTGAATTCATTGAAAAAGTCTTACAGGGGTGGGTTCTTTATGAAAATAACTAATGAACCATGAATTCTCACCTGTACATTATCAATGTTGTCCCGGTTCCAGAGGGGCATGAAAAATCGGTTCGCAAAACGAAGTACCAGCTGCAAATTCAGATCATACAAGAAAATACATAAGGCTGCATTTCAAAAACCAGAGACAACAAATAATGACTTATTTATGTGAACATTACCAGATTTTGAACCAATTCTTTCCCCAGGTAGTGATCTATACGGTAAATTTGTGGTTCATCAAATAATTCTCCAATCTGTGAACTTAGCTTCTCTGCCGAGTCCAAGTCCTTGCCAAAAGGTTTCTCCACAACAATCCGGGTCCATCCACCAAGATCAGCTAGAAAGGATAAGACAGCCTCAAAATAATCAGTATTCAGACAGACGAATGCCAACCATGAAAATAATCTGTACTCTAAAGCTTACATTTATTCATGCAATAATTCTTGATCATCTTGCAAACAGATGGATATACCGATGGAGGAAGTGCAAAATAGAACAGCCTGCGAGACAATCCCTCTGAACTATTTCTGGAAATCTCATGCTCTGAGATTTCTTTATCCAACTTTTGAAAACCCTCCGCAGAATCATATGAACCACTTACATATTTAATCTGCAACAGATATTGACTTACACATGAGTATAACTCACAGTGGACACATACCAAAACTAAGACATTAATCATGCATAAATAGAGTATGACTAACCAACTGCAGAAACTTGGATACTTCTTGTAACTGCTTCGCATCGTCAGCTTTTCCTTGTACAAGATATCTGCAACCATTTTTCATATTGAGCAATCACTATTGATGGCTATAGTCGACAGAAATTATATAAAAGATAACAACGGGAGAAAATGCATGAAGCATAATCCCTTGTAGAATCAAAGCGGAACTAGAGTTCTTAACTACATTAAAAGTTAAATAAATAGATGTCCAGGGCCTTAGTAATTATGAAGATAATGCGTACTGCTGATTTCATTAAAGATATCAACAGTTCTAGTAAGTTGACTCGATCAAAATAAGATGAAATTTAGAGGAAAACTAGAGGATGTCATATATCATACCCACGAATGCGATTTCTTAGGTCATCATCTGAAATTTTTGTTCTTGCATAACCAAAGATGTGGACTTCATTTGATTGTAGGAATCCCTGGGAACAACCATTGATAAATATAGTTAGATCATACAGAAGAATTAAATAGTTATAAGAGCAACAATTATATATTGAAAAGAAAAAAAGCACTCCTCAATTGATTTGAATTTTTTAAATTGAAGTTTAATAGCAGAACTCTTTGCAAAGGGAAGACCATCTAGAAGCTAAGAAGAAAACATATTGGAAAATCTTTATTAAATTAGGCATGTTGGAAATGTCCTTTTCCTGAAGAAATTACAACCACAAAGAAGTAAAGATGTAATCTATTATATTCATCAATACAAAGAATTATCTGGAAGAATTCGCTATATTTTACAGAAAGGGAGAGCCAAAAAGATACCTGGACGAAAAGGTGGAAAAGTGCTGGAAAAGTCTTCTTTTTAGCAAGATCTCCAGATGCCCCAAGAACAATTATGGAGAGACAGCCAGTTTCCGGCACATTCTCGTCCCCTGAGAAAGAGTCATTTCGAAGACTCATTCTTTTCTCAACGTGCCATGATCCAGATGCCATCTTTTAATCTACACACGGTAAATGCCAATTGTGATCACCCTCATAACTTGTACATTTTGGTTCAGAAATCTAATTATCAACATCAACTAAAACTGAAAGTAACAAAATGAGATGCTCATAGCTTAAATTACACCACGAGATTTCATTACTTCACTAACAACAACAACATCTAGCAGCTTAATTTGAAGCAGAAAGAACAAAGATATGACTTATGAGAGAAAAAGGCATGTAAAAGGAAAACAAATCGTTGTCAAAATTTTCCGTCAAAGTCAACGAGAGAGCACACTAAAAGAGACTTCAGAGAATGCAAACTATTTTCTCCGGATCTGATTCTCCAAGAAACGAAAAACCAAACCGATCCAACCGCGGAAGTCTTGAATAAATTCCACCCCATCATCTTTAAACCCCAAAAATGCAAAACCCAATTCGATGATCACGGTATTGAAGGACAGAAAGAGAGAGAGAGAGAGAGATCATAACAGAGCATTAAAGCAGCTGTAATGGCAGAAGAAAAAGAGAGAGCACAAACCTCCGCCTTCTTCTTCTTCTTCGCTGTGTTGAGGCTGCGATTCGAATTGGGGTTGAATTGAATGGAAATTTCAGAGGTTCTGCGCCATTTTTAAACTGCTGTATCGCTCACCAAACTCTTGTCGTCGTCGGCAATTGGCACTCAGCCACTTCCAGCCGCCGTTCTAGACACGAAAAAAAAAAAAAGAAAAAAAAAGCCATTTCTTTTTTGCTTTGATTTTACATCAATCGACCCCACATTTTGGTGTTATTATCCTTTTACCCCTTCATTATTGCGGAAGTTGACACTATTTTGGTGGAATAATCGTAGCAAAATAGATAATAGTTAAAAAATAAATTTAGTCTCATCCTTCTCCATTTGATATAATAGTTTAGTCTGCTAATTTTAGTATATAACAATTTAATCATGATATAAAATAAATTTCAAGAGTCGATTTTTATCCTATAATGATTTATTTTGTATCATTTATAAATACATTTGATCTCCAATTGGTTTGTCGACTTACATATATAAGAAAGTTAATAAAAAATTTTATAATGGTGACTAAATCGTTACAAATTTTAAATTAAAAAAATATAGATTTTTACCTTCTAAATTTCAATAATTAAGTTATTACTAATTTGAAAGTACAAAAACTAAATCGTTGCAAACTAAAGTTCAAATAGTATATTGATGGAACTAAAAGTTTTTTTTTAACTTAGATAATATTTACTTCATTTACCACAATACTCTAAAAAAATAAGTGCATAATTTAGTGGATAAGATACTTATTAAATATAACTTAATAGATGAGGCATTTATTTATATTTAGTACTTAAAGTTCCCTTATTTCTTTTCTTTTCTTTCCATTTTTTTTTCAAAGGGCTAATATGAATCAGAAGGACCTAGATAGAACGTGTTTAGGCTCATGATGCGTATAAATTGGCCTAAACAGTTAAAAGAATATTTAAAAAAAAAAAATACTTATTTCAAGTTATGAATCATCTGGTTCAAAATATATATTGTTTGTTTGTTCATTTTATCAAACTTATTTTTGACTCATTGCATTTATTGTATTTGGTGTGCCTACTCTTCTATGCTACATGTGTCCAATCATCACTTGTTACTTAATAAGTTGAAGACTTATTAAATTATTTGTTTGTTAATATCGAAATTCGGATAGGTCTATGTGTCCTTCGAATGGGATACTATCGGACAAATGAGTGTGCAATACAAGCTGGACATCGGTGCAGTACCCCACCTAATGTTCTCCAATTATCAAGTTAGTAATAGCAAGAGGAGAGAAATGGTGAGCACCTTAATAGATTAGTGAAAGATTTTTCACTTACCTTGTGGTCATGGTGTTCCGTCTCTTTTATAGAAGTCGAAGTCAACTAGGATGTCTAGTGTACAGCGCAGTAGGGTCCACTTGCGTACGAGCTCGAATGGACTGTTAGAGGACATTCCCGATGCTGGTAGCACCCTCGTCGTCTGCCACCCCGACCCACTGCAAAGGTCCTATAGTGGGGTGAGCCGCATATTTGCTCATACGTCTCTGCAAAAACTAGCGTCGCTCCCTCCGTTGGTCGTACGTCCGTAGGGGATTTGGTCCCCACTGCTCGTTGTCGCCTCTCGAGCTTCACGTGTTCCCTACTTGGTTTTCACCATGAACATTATTTTTGAAGTTTAAGAATGTATTAGATATGTTATTGAAAATTTAGGGTCTTATTAAATATAAGTGAAAGTTACAGCCCAAACTTTTAATTAAGTTTCTGTCTCCATGTTACGTCAATAACATTAATATAACGAGTCATCTTATGATAAAAATGGAAAGTTTAATTAAGGCATGTTGGATAATGTTATCGGTTTTTTTTTTTTGTCTCATTTCTAAATTTTGAAAAACATAAATGTTTGGTAACCGTTTATGTTTATTGTTTCTCATTTCAGTTTACAAAATTGTAGCAACACAAAGAAAATTGTTAATGTTTCATATTCTTTTTTCCCAAAATTTCCAAATTTGTGTAGGAATAATTTGGAAATAACACAATCCAAACAAATTTACAGTTTCTTCTTGTTTCCAGTTTTTTTACAGGATATAGATAATCTCAATGTTTAAGAAAGGTTTTCAAAATTTTTTATAAATTTGGGAATTTTTAATAGTTAATTTTCTAATTTTTTCCAAAACCTAGATAAAGATTTTTTTTTTTTTACTTATAAAATCTATAATAGATATAAAAAATAAATATCACATACGAAATTTTTTGAATATTTGATTTTAAAATTCAATTTCATATAAAAATTTTTATTTTTTAAATTTAAAATTTTATAGAATAATAAAAAACAGTTACCATTATGTTTCTTTTTTTTTCAATAAAAAAAGAAAGAAATTAGAACCAGTTATCAAATTCTAATTCTATTTTTTATGGGAAAAAAAAAACAACAAACAACAATAGAATTTCTTTTCTTATTTCCGGCTTACATTATTATTTTTTGTGATCAAACTTTTGACGTCTTAAATTAATTATTTGAAAAACATGGGAAAAGTGAAACTGTTCTTACTGTTTGTTGTTTTTAATAACAACATGGCAATTTAAATTCAAAATAGTAAAAGTGGTTATACTTTTTAATTGAAGAAGTTTATAAAATACACAAATAAAACATGAAAACAACTAAACTATTTAGAAGGAAAACCAATTTTAACTCGTAAACTTTATATAAATTTTCATTTTCATTAATTTCAACCTTCTAATTTAGATAAATGTTTCAATATGTAATATAATTTATATTTCCATGGGATCTTCTACTAATTTTATCAAAATGAATATAAAAGAAAAAACTTTAGAAACTCATTAACTACAAAGTTCTGAACAAAATTAAGTTGAAATAATCTACCAAATAAATTATTAATAACTAAAGTCGTAATTTTCAAATTTCAAAAAAGAAAAAAAAATAGATATATCCTATCAATTTTATATTTCATATTTGAAATTTTTTTTAAAAAAAATTATTCAGTTACATAATATTATACACAAAAAGGACATTTTTAACCCCGTTGCCGCTTCTCAACAACCACGCTGAAATTTATTTATTCATTAGGAAAATCCCAAAATTGCCGATCCGGAGATCACGGGACCAGTAGCGTAACCACGTGGCAGATAAGATGCAACGTGGGCCATCGATCAAATGAACACGTGGCACGTAGAAAACGAGCCTATGTAGTATCGGAAGCAGCAAATCACAGAAACCACTGTCACGAATTGAATGCTCCTTTCCTCATGATTCACGTCGTTAGATGATCGGTAGGCATTGGATAATAAGTTAAAATACTAATTTTATCTATTATTATCCACTTTAATTTATTTTAGTCATTCTACGATTAATATATTTTTTAATTAAAGTAAGCATAGTTCAACGATAATTGACATATATTTTCAAATAAATAAATTTTAAATTCGATACTCCATTCCTATATGTAAATATATGAATCAAAATGGATATATGGACTAAAATGAACCAATGATAAAAGTGTGGAAACAAAAATAGTATTTTAATATTGATGGAAATGCGAAGGTCCAGATTTTATAAAAATGTCGTTAAAATATCAATGTTAATGGATATTTTTGAAAATTTATAAAAAGAAAAATAAATACATTCAAGATATTTAAATGAACAAATAAGTCTTTCACTAATTTTAAATAAGTTAAAAAGATGTAATTATTAATATTATATCCACATTAATGATGTTCCTCAATATATATTTTGTTCATTTTTCTTGTGATATTGTGTAATTTCAATGTACCCATGTCAATTTCAGAACATATAAAGATGTCAATGAAAATGTGGACACTTGATGAATCAGATATTGGTGTTCCTTGGCTCTGACCCTCAATGATATCAGAGCCTTCAGAGCCAACGCAACTCTTTCTTTCTTTTCTTTCTCATGGAGTAAACTCCTCTCTGAATCTGGGGGTCGAAGGAAGATGAGTCTAATATCGTTCTAAGGTTATATTCTTTCTTTTTGATTCTTAATCTATCTTCTAATTAAATCTGATTCGAGTATCTCTCTTGTTCAAACTTCTAATATCTTCTAGCTATCTATTCTCAGATATCATGATAAAGGCGTGGTTAACCTTCATGATTGAGAATTTCTAGTTAGGAAATATTAAATTGTGTGAATAAAGATCGATTGATCAAAGAATTCGATTTAATTAACAGATAGATTTTTATCAAAATAAAAGGATATGAACTTAGTAAGATCTTATTTTCATCTCCTAGATATCTCCAGGTTCCTTTTTCTCCTCTCTCATGCTGTCTAAACTCCTTTCTAAAATCTCCCCCCATTCTCAACCCATCGTTGACACAGCCTCCTCTTCCTCTTCCTCTTCTATCAAGCAAAAATCAGAAAATGATTTTTCAAAGATTTTAGCTGAGCATAATTCAGCCGAAGCTCATCTGGCTAAGGTTGAAGATCGCCTCAAAAACTGGTCTATCCCCAAGATAGATCCAAACCAGGTATACAAAATAAATACCTTCAATTTCTCCCAGCAAGATGTTATCATCATTATCGAGGAGAACGTAGCCATGAAGGATGAATTCACAGAGATCACCCTTCTTCCTGAAGAAACCCTCTTCAGAGTCAGGAACAAATTCAAATACCTCCATATTGGATGCGTTCAAGTGGC